TCTGCCTGGTCTCTTATACCTTCCCATTAATTTTATGTATAATATACCTATTTTAAAGCCCTTCTTCTTTTTACTTATTCTAATATTGTTTAGGATATTTATTTAGAGATGATATTTTTTGATATAAAATATATCTTAATTAATGCAATTTTTTTTGATTAACAATTACTTTTGAATTGAATTTAAAAAAAAATTAATGTAACCATAAAAATCGAGGTGGCTTGACTATCAATCTGATTGTAATTATATCTTTTTAAAGTAAAATTTAAACGACAGCTGTATAATTCGGATTTTTAATTTGGTCATAAATAATTGTGATGAGATGATTATCTCAAAATTTACAATTATATAGAAATTATTTTTTTATTCTAATGGCAATAACAATTTTTTTTATAGTTGTAAGAAAAGTTTAAATTTTCATATATTTCAAACCTGGATTTATTTCCTCCATACTTATATTTTCGGTGTTTGCCACCGCAGCTAACTATTTCCGGGATAATAGTTGTGATATTGTTATGGTCTATTGAATAAATTGTATTTAAATTTAAAAAATTTTGACAAATCTCGTAGCAAATTTTTTAAATAAAAGCCTTTTAGGTTATAATTGTAAGATTTAACTAACAAAGTATGGTATTTCAACCCATGAATTGGCAACTATAAACGCGACCCAAAGAGCATACTGATAAAACCATATTATCCACAAATAATAAAGATGGTAACTGATGCTGCGTCAAATGGCAAAAGAAAGAGGAGAATGGTCTTCAAAATTTAGTTACAGTTGATGGCATAAAAACGTTGCAGGAATTAATATCCTGATTAAAAAATTGAGAAGTCATTTCTATCCTCAGATTGTGAAATTGTAAATTTATGACAGCCCATATTTTTGATGTTGATAATTCTGATCCATATTTGTAGTATTTCATGGGTCAAAATACCATACTTTGTTAGTATAATCTCTTAATTCTTCTCAATAACTTTTAAATTAAATAATTTTCTACGGTTTATAGTCAAAATTTAAAAAAAAAATATTATACTTTTAAATCATATTATTTAACAGAATTAACGACCGTCCTAGAGAAAAGATGTTAAAAATAAAATTAAAAATTGGTAGGATTGTTATTTGAATAATGTTAATTTAATATGATATGATATTTTATAATACATTAGAATAATTTGAAATAGAAACATATGAATCTTTGATTAATTGTAAATTAAAACTAATTAACTCTAAGTGTATTTTTTTGCTTAATTAGCGATTTTGAGTTTGTGGATTTAGAATTTCATAACTTGTAAGTTTAAGAGATTTGGTCTCATATCTAAAAGATCATAAGCATAAACTAAATAATTTTTTTAATAGAACTGTGGAATTTTTAGAATTTTTCTTCTCTTGGTAATTCTAAATGGATCGTAAATGCTATGAGGGATCAATTTGGAATAAGAAGGTTGGTTTATTAATTAATTATAAATCTAAAAATTTTTAAAATTATAAACTGTCAATATTTTATTTTAAATAATTTTTATGTACCTTTCAAAAATATAAAATAGCTTTTACTAGTTATCTCTGGGGGGCTTGTTAATATAATAAGAATTCAAGGGTTATATTTATTTAAAAGACCATAACAAATCAAAACCTATTATCCCTGAAAAAGTAGCTATGGTGATAAATACCCAAAATGATACAACCGAAATATTTGTACGCAGGAAATACATCCAGGTTCAAATATAAAATTTAAAAAAATAAGCTTTTCTTACACCTAAATAAAAATTAGCAATTTTATATAATTTATTTAGGACAATTTTAAAAGTTAGATAATATAATTTGATCCGAATATTCTTAAATATGTCGAATAATTCCTACGAATTTTATTACGATATTTTGTTTTGTCATTAAACTTTGTATATTAGTTTATACAGAATATATCGTTTTTAACAGAACTACTTAACAGTAAAATATAACAGATACTTAAGGCTAGCAACGAGAAGCAACCTCTAAGTTTAAATTGATATTTACCAGATTACGCATATCAGGCTATGCCAAATACTAACTAAGCTAAATTTATTGGGAATTTAAAATGAAAATAAATATGAGGAAAAAATTTACAACATCATTAAAATGAATAGATTCTTTAAATATAAATGTAATTTAATATTTAAATCGATTATTTTCCCTACCTAATATACGTTTTCCACAAATAGCAATAGTAACGTCCTTATTCAAGCCTAAACAAAATAAATATTCAAAACATTGAATAACTTTATATTTCCTTCAATGCTGCCTCTACCAACCTATCAGTGAACATTTTGCCTCTTATACTTTCTATTTCTAAAAACTTTGATCCATATAATGCCATCACAAAACTTTGAGGCCAAATAATTCTTTTTCTTAAGACAAAATAAACAAATATAAATACTACTATACCCCTCCCTTCTTTCTCTTTTTAATAATTAGATGAGAATTATATATTTTAGCATAAACTATTTTTATTTAACAAAATTAAGTAATATAAATTTTAAAATAAATCTCTTTACAAATCTGTTAAATCAAATAATAATTATATTAAAATTTTAAAAGATATAATTGATAATTAGGCGATACTCTTATACAGTAGCATAGGTTTTATACTAAAATATATCTATAGTTGGACATTATTTTAAAATTTATAATATCTATTCAATTAGAGATAAGAAGCAACGAAAGAATTATAACGTGAAGGATAACTAATGTCCTTCCAACTGACGCATCGAAGCGTGTGAAAAAATGAATTCCGAATTACTTCGAATTGATCGTTGGAAAATAATTCTTCGAAAAAGGATCTAAAACAATTTAAGCCAAATCCCAAGCCGATCCCCCAGACAACAAATTTTAGATTACCTTTTGTATAAATCGCAATTATTATACCGATTTAAAATTTATAAAATATTCCATATATTGTGTTATTATAATTATAATACTAATTAAATATATATAATAGTTTGTAGCCTTTTCTCAATATATTTTAATAAAAATCATATTTTATCATAAAATAGTGTATAATTTATATATCGGGAGAGCAATTTTAGATCCACAGGAAAAATTATCATTTTAAACGAAGTAGCTTCCAAGAATAAAGAAAATTTATTTATTATTTTTAAAAAAAAATAAGGAAAGAAAAATATTATTTTCGGTATAAATTTTGCAAAAGCGGTAAAAATTTTTTTCTTTTTAGACGAATTAGTTGTTTGAATAGATACAATTATTAAAATAAGGAATAATAGAAATTCTAAATATCTGTTTATACAATATACTTAACCTTAATGGCCAAAGTACCATATCTACATCAGTTGTTATTTATTAAATTTTCACATATAAATTTTTTAAATTAAAAAAATTTCGCTTGATTCTCATAGCTCGAAGATTGTACTATAACATATAAAAAAACCTTTTTTTAAAAAAATATTTATTTTTGAGTGTAGATGCCATTGAAGTTCCATAATTTTGACTATTTAAAGTGTACGATTGTTTAAAAAGTACTTTTAAGATGGTTTAATTAGTAGTTTAAACTATTCATCAACAAATTTTACCTCATTCTAAGTGGCAATTTGATTATAACCTCTATTAGAAGATCTTTCAAGCTAAGCTCGGGAAATTTATTAAAAAAATAACGGTCCGAATAAAAAATTTTAAAGGCAAAAATTATTTTGGGCGGGACAATTACTATATGAAAATATCACGGAAAGATCCCCATAAATTTCTTTTTCGTAAAATTTCAAAAGGGAACTGGAGATTAAAATCTCGATATGTATATTTTTTAAATAATTTACAATATTCTCATTTCTTTTGTATAGACGTCTGACTAAAATACCAAATTTATAAAGAATATAGTAAAATCACAAAAAATTAAACAATTCGTTTATGATATGATCCAATTACAAATGCACAAAACGGATAAAAAACTTAGTTACATAGTTAATTTATAAAACGGTTGTTGTAGAAATAGATAGCCAAATAATTATAGATATTAAAATATTGCGATGGCCGGATAATTAGTCTAAAACAAAATTTAATGGTTTAGGCGGACTTTTTGTAAAACTTAAAAAAGCTGACCTAACTTTTCATAATATTTTTACTGACCGGGCTGGGGCAACTTGTGCGAAAATTCTTATCAGGCTAAAGGGGGGTGTGCTTTGCAGAACTCTAACTTCTAATCACCTGAGTAAATTTATGGTGTTTGCTTGGCTACATCTTTCTCTTAAATATTGTCATGTTTTCAAAATATTACATATATACAAATATTTCCATCTCTTAATTTCTGACAATTGCTTAAATGTAATGGTGGAATATGCATAGATAGATAACATCCTTTATTTAAGATTGACACATCTCTAAATGTGCTAACAAAAAAAATGTAGCAGCTGATTGTTATCTTCTGAAAGTTTCATTTGTAATCGGGCAAAACCTTAAAATTTAAAAATAATAAGTTTGGACCTAAAAAAAAATTTTTTATAAACAAAATTTATGCCGGACCGATTTTAAAAATATTTATTTACTGCTCATATTTTCAATTTTCCTTCAAAGCAATTTATAAAATAGAGCCGCTAAAAACTATTCAAAATTAATTAAATTACGGGCCGGACCGAAAAAATGATATTAGGTTTTTTAATCCGGGCCGAACCGAAAAAATGATAAAATTCGGTTTTTTAATCCGGGCCGGACCGAAAAAATAATAAAATTCGGTTTTGTAATCCGGGCGGGACCCCTCTGAGTGATTCTCTGTTTTAAATCCTTAAAAGGTGACAAAATATATTATAATGTTTTAAAAATTATGCGGTTCTATTTTCGATCAAATCTAATTTTATTTTTTTCGACATATATATTTTGTGTACGTTATATAATTTTTATAAATATTTTCTATAAAAAAAAATTGTACTATTTTGGTATAAATATAAATATATAACGAAGCTTCTATTAACATCATATGTTATTTAGGTGTTAATATTTTGTCATTTACTAGAAAAAAAATATTATCAACCAATAGAAAAACGTATACAAATAAATAAATACAAGTTTACAAAATATTGATGTGTGTTGTTTGATGATTAATTTTAAAAAAAGAAATTTAATTTAGAAGTTTTTAAGACTAAAGTCAAAAGATCTAAATCAAAAACAATATGCCAACAGATGTTATATAAAACACCTAACAACGATAACGAATACAAACTTAATATAATGAAAGCACGATTTTAATAAGGAATTTGATTCTGGTAATATTGCAACAGATCGTAAGCCCTGGTACGATAATTGAGGTAGGACCTGTGAATGACCCCTATCATAAATTGAGCGGCCTCCTTCTCCGAAAGGTTGGACGCGAATCGCGACCTGAGTAATTTGATAGTTTGCCCTCTGAAGCACGAAAACCGGGTGTCCAGCATCAGGGAGACCAAGGTGACTACGGCTTCTTCGTAAGGTCTACACACGTTTTCAAAATATGTAGGGGGGAAATGAAATAATATATGTTAAATATACATTTTTTAGACCCTAATAAGATGGTGATAGTGTGATAAATAAGTAGGCAAACATATTGCAGTAAATAATGAACTAGAATAGATTTTTAGATAAATGCTTAAACTCAATTTCCAGGTTTATTCCTTAAGATTTTGTATAAATTGAAGGACATATTAACCTGAAAGCGAGGAATCCTTTGACGCAAAGTTCCGTGAACCATTGAAAGCCGCCGGCCTCCATCTTTCCCCCCATTATCATGACCATCTCATCCGTCAATTTGATGTCAGGTTCGAACCCCAAGTTGCCACCAGGGGAACTCTCGAACAAAAACCCAAAATCTTAATTACCAATCAACAAAAAAAATTGATAAAAATAAGTTTGTGAATGTATTCGGGACTCATAAAACATGGGAAAATATGATTGACAATTAAATATGACAACTGGCGATTCATAAATTAAATTTTTAGGTGATTTTAAAATCTAATTTGAAGAAAACAAATATAAATGACATTATAAATAAGGTAATATTTAGCAGTAGGTTTCTTAAATTAAATATTGATCGGATTGGATTATGATTCCTTATTGAATTCGTCATTTGATTCAAGTAATTGGATGTAGTAGACGCCATTGAAGAACATTTCTTTCTTTCAATTGGAGAAATGTATGTACACTCATTAAGACTGTCCTATTGTTTAAACCAGAGTTTGGAACCCTAAAAACTAAATCCTTCCAAAAAAAAATCACGTAAATAAAACTAATATATTATTTTGTTATTTAACATCTTCATTAACAAAAACTAATATATTATTTTGTTATTTAACATCTTCATTAACACTATTTCAAACATAATTCACTATATAATAATAATAAAAATAAATTCTTTAACTAAAACCATACCAGAGTATTCTAGACCATAGGTGATAACGAGTCAAAAATTGAGCGTTGCAAAAATAATTTGAGAAATTGTTGGATATTTTGAAGTGTTGGACATTAAAAAAATTATCGTCTGCTTAGTAATTGTATTAATTCTCATATTTTAAAGTAAATAAATGTATAATATATTTAAAACTACCTTGTATAATTTATAACTAAGAAAATTTTCTATCGTCTGTTTAGTAATTGTAATTATTCTCATATTTTAAAGTAAGTAAATGTATTATATAAATAATATATTTAAAACTATCTTGTATAATTTATGACTAAGAAATTTTTTATCGTCTGCTTAGTAATTGTATTTATTCTCATATTTTAAAGTAAGTAAATGTATTATATAATATATTTAAAACTATCTTGTATAATTTATAACTAAGAAAGTTTTTTATCGTCTGCTTAGTAATTGTATTTATTCTCATATTTTAAAGTAAGTAAATGTATTATATAATATATTTAAAACTATCTTGTATAATTTATAACTAAGAAAATTTTTTATCGTCTGCTTAGTAATTGTATTTATTCTCATATTTTATTTAAATCTTGTATAATTTATAACTAAGAAAATTTTTTATCGTCTGCTTAGTAATTGTATTTATTCTCATATTTAAAGTAAGTAAATGTATATATATGTATATACAATATAATAAAAAATTTTTATCGTCTGCTTAGTAATCGTATTAATTCTCATATTTCAAAGTAAATAAACTACCTTGTATAATTTATAACTAAGAAAATTTTATCGTCTGTCCGCCTCTAATATTAAAGTAGTTAGTAATGTGTGATTATTTCGGCTTTAAATCATTTTTTGAGCGCATTTTTAATTTAAAAATCTGATTTTACCGGAAATGTATTTCAGCATGTTTAGGATACCTATCCTACGAATTCCAGAAATGCGATTAACTTTTCGACTTAATATTATTTGTATTGGTTTTCCATATATTTACTATATTAAATTATAAATGATATTGTCTAAAATTCATAAGAGATAGGTATTATAAAGGTAAAATCAGATTTTTAAATTTTTTTTATATAAACGTGCATCAAAAAGTTGAAAAAATAACACATTGCGGCTAACATATATATATTTTTTAAGCTACCGTGATTCATAAGTTATAAATTTATAGCCTTTATTTTTTTTTATGTCTACTATACATTTGAGATTGCCAAGACTCTAACTTATTCTATCGTTACAATTCATTTAAAATATATTTATGGTGGAATGTGTGAGAGATTTGTTAATAAAGTTTGTTGACTTTTGTAATTGAACTTCAACTGTTGTAAAAAATTTAATACACAATATATTGCTAATCCTAGTAGGCCATAGGGGAGATTGAGAGAACCAATAGAAGTGGAAAGGCAAGAGGAGATGAATATAAAATGTTTTTTTAACTAACTTTATATGATTATTATTTGTTTATTTTATAACCTATGTGAATGATATGGCCACCGATGTCAATCATTATGTTCCCATTGTGTCTGTCTTTGATTTGCAACAAAAATAGTATGACACTATACCCGGCCATGCTTCTGATAAAATTTTGCCGCGCCTATTAAATATATTTAAAATTTTGTTTTAATTCGATTGGATTATATTAAAACACTCATTATGTAAATTCCTGCATTCTGGGTTCTTATTAGATATTATGAAAGAAATATTTTAAAAAATACACGGTGATGTTTCGAACAAATAATTCAAACCTAAATTTTAAACGCCACAATTATTTCATAATCTAATTTTAAAGATCTGCAAAAGTAGGCAGGTCCGGACTGAACGGGATTATGGCCGGGCCTATTTTTTCGGGCGGTGCCTTGTCTCAGTTCTCTAATAAGTACTATATACATGAATGGAATATGGATATAGGGGAAATGAGATGTTTCAAAACTTTAAAAAAAACACCCGGTTATAAATAATTAAGGTTTTAAACATTTGCTTTAAAAAACACCCACCATTGAAGCATAATCTTGAATTCGCTAAGGCCCTAAGACATATATTATGCCGCCTAAATAAAAAAAAATAACCATAATTGCTAGTTATCAACATCTATTGCATTCAAGTCATAATCTTACCTCATCAAATACTCCATTTAATTTATCAGAAACCTTTCTACTTAATTTTTGTTTCTTATTTATTCTTCCTTTCTCTCAAACTCAATATTTCTTTCCTTTCTGACCCCAAACCCTTCTACTGTTGATTTTAATAAAGATCACGTGCTTCTCTAATTGATCTCTATTTTAGATGTCCAATACCGATACCCACCCTATTTTGGCGCCCTTTTCCTAGACTTTTTAATATATCTTTTTTATGTTCGGTCATTATCGTCGACCTTTTGAAAAGCCGTAGAATTTTCGTCGCCGTATTTCTTGAGGAAATATTCGTAAAGCCCAATGTCGGTTTGCCTGCCCAGCTGATCGCGGCTCTTTGAGTCCGGCACGCACTCGATAACGCCGCAACCGGAATCGGTGGCAACGACCCTATAAGGAAACAGAAACAAATCCAAGCCGACCGAAACGCAAACATTTTTGAAAAGCGTTATGATTTGCAGAGCTAACATGTCCTGGGAAAAGTAAATGTTTGAGAAAAAAAAAATCATGTTAGAGTCATAAAAAAATGAAAATCTAATTTTAAGTTGGCAAAGTTTCTTGGTGATTGAATTAAAGTCTCAAAGACTTTCGAGGATTCCAATAACTTAAGGTTCATTTTATTATTAATGACGATTATTGTAGAAAGCCATTCAAGCACCGACTCAGGAATAATCATGAATTCAATCCCAGATCTCGTAAAATCATATTGTTATATATAACCACAAATCTAGATTAAAATTCTAATACCAGGGCATTAAAAAAATTTCTACTCCATTTTTACCTGCCTAACATCATCCCCCACTTTGAAAATAGCGGCCTGCCAATAAACGGGAAACGCCGAAGAAGCCGGAAGTAGAGGCGCCAAGGATTGCCTTCTTTTATTTTTACTTTTACTATACGTGTTACTGTCCTTTGTTCGTATTTTAATCAAAAAAAAAATTGTATAAATGTGAGTGGGCAATATGTGTAATATCCGAAAGGTATAGGTTAGGTATTTTATTTCCTAATTCTAGGAATTAAGCAACTACTTATCTCAAGAAAGCCAGGGGACAAATAGTACATCTTAAAATTCTAAAACATAAGTGGGCAAGGAAGACCGTGTCAAATAGACTTTAGCGTAAAAATAGGACAAATAAAGGAAACTTTGTTATTGTTAGAATTATCGGACGAAGTATCGGACTCCGTATCCTCGTTACCTTTAGGAACGGAAGTCGAAATGTCATTGGCCTCTTGTTCAGCTAAAACGAGCGAGGCCGTAGCCAATTTCTCCAATTCCTTGATACCGCACCTTTGTACCTTGAAACGGGCTAGGTAGGGGGCTTTAGCGGCGCTTTGGAAAATAGAAACGAAATATAGAAAGTTATATAAAGAATTCAAAAAAACTTTTTTAAACATCCGTTATTGGTGGATGTTTATTCTTCCGCCCTCTCGTAAAAGATAGGACGCCTTAAATAGAGTGTTGCGCGATATCGTTTCTAAAAACTTGCATATTTTTGAATGTTCGCGCATTAACATATTTTTTTTTACCGTCTGCTTACGACGAGTTTAGTCATATATTTTTTTCGAATAATTTTCATTTTTTTAAAAAGTAAAGGGTACTAATTAAACTATAAATATATATTATTCACTCAAAACTACTTAAAAAAATAACTTTATATTCACTCTCGTCTAATTATCTTACGCTTTGTGAATCAATTTAATCATGTGAAGTAGAGATTTAAAAAAAAAAACATCACCATCCTCTAAATTGACTAAAAATTTGAATGTTAAATAAGGGTCTTTGCTAAAGACAATAAATTTAGCCTTTTATGGGCCTATTGCTTCTAGGTATCCAAGCTCACAACACTGGTTCCACCCATCATTAGTTCCTTCTAGATTACAAATTACACCGTCGTCAATAATATTGATACTAACAATAATTCTGCGTCAAATACCTCAAGTTTGTTATCAAACCATTTAAATCCTGCCCAGTCCAGTATTATATACCGTAACACTTATCTGATTACAGGCTAGTCAAATATAATTCTCGCGCAACACTTTCCAAATATCTTACCCGGAATTCCTAGGGGTACATGGCCAACAGTTCAAATCCTTTTTGGAGATATTATCAAATCTATAATGATTGACAAAAAATAATATTTTAGCGAATATTGTTTCATATTTTATTTCATGTTCTTATAAGTAGCAAAGAATAAAGATTTCCCACTGTCAAAGGTCATTAAGGACAATCTCTTAAATAACAGATCTGACTTAAAACAAACACACAGAAAATATTCAACTTAAAAAAAAATATGAAAATTTGGCAAAACTCATTTAAAAAAAATTTTTTAGTAGTAAGGCTGCTATACGTTGTTTTTCCAGAAAAGATTTGGTAGCTCCTGATTCTGATGAAGTGTATGAAGAATGACAAGCGTCCTGCAAGAACAAATATTGATCAGTTTTAATCCATAAAGATGGCTAAAGGCCTCAAGCAAAACTATAAGATCCCTTCTTACATGCTTTGAGTTTAGTTTTTCAGTGGCAACCAGGTCTGCGGTAAAAATATCTCAACCATATAAATGTCAAAGATGCGGAACACAAGTAGATTAAAAGGCAAGCCTCTCCATTGTTTGTTTAATAGATATAAAACATTAAGGCATAAAAAAATTAATAAAATATTGCAAAGTTCATTATTTAAAACCAATGTTCCCTCACATCTAGAACCGCTAGATACATAATTCACGACCTGATGGACATACTCTAATTCCCTGAAATATTGGGAAAAATATGTATTAGCATTTTTTAGTGTACAGATATTTTTGCCCCCCCCCCCTCTTACCTCAAGGTTCTAGGTATTTCCGAGAATAGAAAATCACACAAATATTAACATCTATCCGAAAACAATATATCCATACCAATCGTGGAATCAACAAACTGTTCATTCGGAAAATGGGCCAAATTCCTAGTCAAACAAATCAGTCAAAAGAGCCATAAAACAACAATTTCGAAGGTCTTTTAGAAATTTAAATTCTTTAAAGATTCCTGGCCGTGGCCAGTTGTAGTTGTTTTTTCTAATGTTTATTTTTTAATATATAGTTTGCAAGTTTTTTTACTTTATATAATATGAAAATAAATAATTTTAAATTCCAAAAAAATTATATTCCAACACTAACCAACCAGTATATTTTTTAATATACCAAAGGCTCAATATTTTCACTGGTATGGCTTTATATTTCCAATGACACGATAATACTACCTAGACTAGATTCATAAATATATTTAACGTTAACACAAAAATCGTTCTATTTCTTTCCTTACCTCTCCAATATATGAGAAATTCGTGAAAATGAGACAATTTTTTTTAAATGGACACCTTATTTTTCGTTTATTTTTTTTTAACATTATACATGGATATAAAAGCGATAATTGCTCAATATTAAGTGGATTCATGTTATGTCTCTCTTTCAGAGTCAATCAAATCTAACCCTTCCATCAAAAAAAATTAATAGAATAAGGTTAAATATAATTTATAAAGAAAAAAAACCTCTGCATAGGGGTAGCAGAATCGTAATCGATATCGATTATATAAGCTTCGGGGTTGGAGGGTAAATAACAGCCGGGCTTCGTTTTGATTTTTTTCAGGGCTTTGAGGCAGGCTTCTTTCCTTTCCTTACCCTTCGGGTAGGGCCTTATGACGGCGGATACGTTAGTTATTTGCGTGAAAAATTGAAATTCCCGTTCGTAGAAGGGCTTGGAAGATGCCGAAAAATGCTCGGTCATTTGAAACATTATGTAATCGAGTTTGTCGAACAGGGCATCTGTTCGTTGTATGAAAAATTCGTTTATCACAAAAATAGACCAAAATTTTGGGGTTTATAAAGAGCCTTACGAGAGTAGGCCCGTTGTAAGTGCTGTAATACAAACATTGTAAATCTCATCGGACATACAGATATGCACATTTCACATTTTAAAGAAGCAACGAAAATAAGGAATAAAAAGGGAAGGGAAAAAATGATATAGAATAATTTAATGTAAAACCATCTTTAATTTTGCTATCTTCGTCCATATACTGGTTGGTTTTCATATTCCACATGAGTTGATGGGCCAACAGCTGGCTCTTCTGAGCGATGGAAATAAGGAATTGAGATACGTATCCGATCGAATCGTATCTGACCGCTTGAACTATTTGAGGGATGTAGAATATGAGCACTTCCTGATAAATAGTTATAATGATTGAAATAGATAGCATTATTCTTAAAAAAATATATATTTAAGATTACCGGTGGATAACTTGAAAGCACCTTGATCGCGTATTGAACTATGAGGGGATGGTAGGGGTATATTCGATTACATAGAAATGATAAGGCTATGGTGGGAGGGGTGGAGGAGGTGTCCCAATTCATTATGCTCGACAATTCCTTGATATCGTTTTCGACTCTGGATGGAGTTATCAGCATGACTATGGCCTCCGGAATGTGAGAAAAACCGTTGGGGTTGTTCAGGACTAGTTTAGAGACCTCTTCGAACAGGGCTTTGCTATTCGTAAACCTGAAGAGAATTGTGAATATTTCCATTTAAATAAAACTTCACGGCCAGCCTTGGAAATTAACTAATAAAAAAAAACGAGGTTTATTAAATAAAACAAATATAAACGATCATCCATTCCTGAAGAGACGAGATTCATTACTTAAAAATATTCCAATTATTATTATTATTGATCATGTGTTTAAGATTGTTTATTGAAATAGTTTCGAGAAATTCCGAAATCTTTAGTGCAGTGTCTTAGCATTGACCTGACTCCCGTGAACATTTTTAGGTCACAATCCTGCACAAAAACAATCCCATTCCATTTAAAACCTATTTATTATATTCCAGTGTTCATCAACGAATTATAATTTAACAATCAATTTTTATAGCCAACGGCGACCAATTAATTATGGGACAAAATAACCTGTTTTTTTTTTCTTGATTCAAATATATGAAGATAGTTTATTTGAAAAAAAGACACCAAATACAAACCTCAAGGGCAAATATACAGCGAGGCTTGGGCTGATACTCCAAGCTAATTTGGCCATTTCTCTCCAAGTTTTGTCGGAGACGGTTTGAGATTTCCAAGAAACAATGGTGTCCTCGTTGGGTAGCACCTTGTTGACGTTACTCAGGGGATTTAGCCATGTGCAAAATCGCTCTATCTCGTTGGCCTGGGAAGTCATATATGTATGGAGCAAAAAAGATATTTAAACACATTACTACACACTAATGGATGAACCTACTGTAAGTCACGTATAAAAGATGAGGGTTTTTTTTGACTGATTAAAAACTTCTCCTTACATTATATGGGCAAAAATGAGGTGGGGGAAAGTGATAACGGATGGAATGGGAATAATGGCCTTATAAGCAGCGATATCCAAGCCCGTTAAAAATTAGAAGAGGGATCAGAAGGGAAATTGGTTATCTCTTTTTTTTCGTTCATTCTTTCCTTCCTTGTTAAAAATAAATAAATTACCAATAAGGTTAACAGGAGATTGCGTTTCTTCATGAATTCCTTCGTTATTTCCGATTCTTGATTTTCCGGATTGCCCACTACTTTGAGGCCTTTGACTTTGCCTTGAGACGTTTTAGTTGATGACATTGTACCCAACCCTAAAGAGTTGACGGGCAAAGTCTATTATTTTCGAATTCAATCAATTATTAAATTAAAGAACAAGGATGGTTAAGATAAGATATAAATCATATTTGTCTCATAATCACGTGGTACTTGTCATGCCTAAATTAAGTAAGTTTAAGCTCCAAATAATTCTAATTTTTTTAACTCTAAAAAAAATAATTGGTTAGAAAGATTGATCGATTCTCAGATAATTATAGCAATATATTATGTAACTAAATATATATATATAAATTAACATTTCCGGGATAAATATTTGCATTGGGCATGAATTGGGAGTATGGTTCGTATTCATCTATCCATTCAAAATAACAAATAAAATGTATTAATTTAAATTTTTCTAAACATTAAAATTTACATAAATTATTTATTTCTATTTTATTTGGCTTTAAATTTCACTTATTGAAATTATCTTAGTAGACCTTTTGGCTAATTTATGTTAATTTATTGTGCTATTTAATAAGCGGAAAAAGGTCCTCTAAAGCGCGGGTTACGATTGATTGCGACGCTGAAATCTCTGTCCTTTAAGTCAGAATCCATTTTATGATATATTTTTTGGTCACTGGGGCCTCAGTCATGAGCTCGGGTAAAGGGAGGGGTCTAGCGGGCTCTGACGTGCCAAGCAGAAAGAGGAACAATTAAATGATTGAACATCGAAATTATATTTGTATTATTTGGGTTTCATTTTGAAATCGCGGCGCGTTATATTTCTATCATGATTCCATTTATTGCTAAATCAACTTTACCACTCACTGTTGATTTAGGTCTACGCCTTCTTTTCGAGATCCGCTATCCAGATCATCTGATTCAACTATTTAAATTTTGCTTTTTTTTTTAAGGTTTAATCCAATTTCATCAAAATTTAGTAATGGTAGCCGTTTTTATTAAATAGCTAAAGCTTAATTTTCATTCTTAGATATTTTATATTTGTGGTTTTTGGCTATTTTCAAGTTTCCGTTAATTCCCCTGTTATATTTATCGCGTCTGAAATTTCAAGGAGGGCTAGATAACCCTGGGGCGTGGTCAAACACTTTAATCTCATTTTAAATAAATTATGCTAGAATTTTAAATATGTCATAATGAAGTCATATTTATCGCGCGTAGTTTAATTAAAATATATTCATTTAAATGCAAACTTAAATTTTGCGTGTCTATTTAGGAATGGTTGAAGGCAAAATTTCCCGCTTCCAGCACTAGCTCTACTAATTTGGAAGATAATTCAATATCATTAAAACACTTCTTCAGTCTAAACGGTTTTACTTAAATAATTTTCTAGTGCATACACCACCATTGTGTGTGGAGGGATCAAATATCGTTTTCGCAATTTTACAAAAGGAACGTCAAAAATTATAAGATTATGAATGAAAGTTGGCTTTACCTTTAACGTAAGGCGAGGAAATGTTTTTCAGGTATTTTTTTTCGGTGACAATGTGTTGCCAAAATTTGAGAAGAACTAAGGTATCGTCCTTCAGGTGAAGATTGGATTGCACGGGACATTGTGGTACGGTGCTATATAAAAAAAATTTTTGATAAATATTATGGTTTAAAGATATCTAATTTCATCGAGAATCAGCGCCTAAAATCATTGAGCAAGGATTAAAAAAAATGATAACATAATTTTACGCGTTTCGTTTAATATCTAAAAAACCATCTCATTTCCTACGGAGACATAAAAATTTTTATAATCTAGCACATAGGTATATTTATAGCAAGAAAGAAAGAAAGAAAGAAAGAAAGAAAGAAAGAAAGAAAGAAAGAAAGAAAGAAAATGAACCGTTATAATTTTTCGGAACAATCGTAATCGAACTGCTATACTAAAAACTCGAAAGAAGGTAATCAAACAGTTATAACTATTTAATAACCGTTTTAACCCGGTCCGGCTAATAACGGTTTTGTTTTTAAATTTAAAATTGTTATATAAATGGTTGGCATAGTTTAAAATATATTTATATGTTGGTTATGCTACGTGGTGGTACTTAATTTCGTGTTTTATTTGATTGCAAACTAATGTAGCAATATAAATTTGTTCTTTAATAACCCGAAACGGAATTAAATCGTGTTAAAATTTCAAACTAAGATAACGGTTCGTCACCGTGATCATGAGTGAATCGTAGTAATCATGTTACCAGAAGTAATCAAAAGCCGTAGCGTAGACAGCGGCTCTGAGTTCCAAATCCCTCACTTCCCTGATCCTGGCTATGAGTTGATTAGCCGGGCCAGCCGCGGATGACGTATTTTGAATCCTCGCGCAAGCCGATAGGGCTAAGCGAAAACGGCAATTAACGGCCGTTATATGGCGCGTCATGATCGGGTGCGGAGATCCTACCAGGTCCGGGAAGGTCAAGGCTGAGCGGAGCAGAAAGGAGTAAAAGATGGAGTCAACGTCGCAAGTCGCCCCGTACTTGGCCACCTCGGCCCTTTGGTACACAAACTTTGAGTATAGTAAAAAATAAAAATATAAAATTTATTCTTGTAGCGCGTGAAGCATGCATATATATTAGGAAAATTGATTGTTCCATTATTCTTCCTTTTCCCTATATTTTTGTTTTCCCATCCATTCCTTCATTAATCATTCAGAAGATATCATTTTTTGACATAAAACTTACATTTTAAATCTATACCTAAAACTGTATTTTTTTAACTCGTACAATCCGTTAGCTTTAATCTATATGTTTAGACGTAAGGGTAAAAAAAATGTAAATTTTGGAAAAACTAAATAACTCCTATCCAAATATATTACCGCTTTCGTTCTATTTTGTATTTTAAAAATATTCTTTCGATCCTTAACATTACTTTCTCCACAATTTGCCCGTCGTTATCATATGTTTCTCAAATCTAGGAACTTTAATTTAAAGGTAAGCAAAGAACACGTTCTGATTCACCACCGAGAGTATATATATAATTCTACCATTATCCATGTCGATGAGATTGACATATAAACCCGCTAACAAAATTATCTTATATTGCGCACACACCGGAGCCTAGAAAACTCTTCAGAAGACGTTTCGTTTTATTAGTTGCAGCTTTTTATTTAATAAAAGGTTAACTAAGCTCTTATTTCAATAACCCCCACTGGTCTTGTGACAGTAGAAGAACATAGCTGATATTTTTCACCCTAGCTTCAAGTTGAATTGGCCATATATTAATTTGATTTAATCCAAAGGGCAATTAGACTTAAAATACATATCAAACCAGGTTACTCTAGCTAGATCAAAAACACCACCTACAATAGATTTTTTAATTGAAATATATAATAATTCTATTGAATATTCTCTAGACTTTAAATCTAAAAATACACAAATAAATGTTTTTATGTTTTTTATAAAAAAAATTCTATTCAATTTTAATACTGAAATTGACCTCAATTGCTAGCATTGAACGATTATTTATGGTAAAACCTATACTGATCGTCGCTCTAGAGTTAGGGATGACAGTACAGAAATGTTATTACAACTGAAATGCAATAAAAAAATTAATAAATTATATTTATTTAAATTTTATTTCATATTTTTATTTGTGGAAATAGATATATAATATATGAAATATTTTTAAAAAAATTCTAAAGTAGGGTTAAAAAACCGCTAATAAGTGCTCTACTTACTTATAAAAGTAGCGTTTAAAAAGGGGCTCTATTACGCGAAAAAATTATTTATGAAGGTTTATTATCGTGTTGTTTGGATATTAAATTCTTAAAAACGTGCTTAGAAAATTGTTTTGAAAAAAAAATGTTTGGGAATAGTTTAAGCCCAATTTGCCGCCAAGTTAAACTAGGTATATGTGAAGACGTTAAAGGAATTGGTATAATATTAATAAAATCTACTTTGATCCAAACCAGATGCGGGGCCACGTTAGGCAGAACGGGTTTCAGTGGGCTATTTTCTCTGGAGGCCAAGGGCGTGGACATTTTTTCGCCGCCAACCGATCCGGGTTCTTTGGAGTCCTCGAATATTCCCATCTTGTTTTGCAAGGAATAATCCCAGGCCATAAACATCTCGCGGAAAAACTGGTAAAATAAATATTTTTTTTTAAAAAAAAAAAAAAAAATTTGTTTCAGGTTCTAGTTAGGTCCACAAACGAAATATTCCCATTCGATTTGATTTAGAATTGTGAGAATAAATAATTGTTCGCTATTTTTATTCGATTCTATCGAGTTCGGATTTTAAACAAATGAAAGAACCGCAAGATGGAAAAATTGCCGGTCCGAGAGTAGAGCAGCGACCGGGTAAGTAGGTTCTATTTTAAAACGGGAAATTTGCGAGGTTAAAGTATCCCGTGATGGTGCATGATTAGCTAAACGCAAACTTTTTTAAAAATCGGCCCGGTTAGATCTTTTTCCGTCCAGACTGGGCTTAATCTTGGGTCCGTAGGTCTCTGAAAAATTTAAAATTCTAATCCGGTTGGTCCAATTTTTTTAAAGACTTTGTAGGGAAGAGATATCTTAAAATCTATTTTAATGTTTATGCATCTCCATTTAAATATATTATACCACATATTACTAAGTATTATGAGAAAATTAAACGGTAAATATTTTCGCCCCCACTTAATTTTTTTTTTATATTTTGTAAAAACTTTTCTTATTCTATAAATTCCTTATATAATTGTGATATTCACTCAAGGGTAAAAAAAAAAAAGGGGGAGGGGGGAATAGGTAGAAAATGTAGCCTCAATATTTTTCGGGGTATGGGCCCAGGTCTATATTTTATTGACGATGCTGTCGGTCTACTAAATATAAGTAACGTTTGTACTATTAAAAATATCTGTGGTAACCACACTTATAAATTCGCCTGCTTTAGTAAATATCATTCTAATTTAATAAAAATCGTTCTCATTTTACATTCCCACTCCCACACCCCTTATCCCCCCCCCCCAAAAAAAAAAAATGTGAACCAATTATCAGAAAAATAAAAGTTAAAATTTTTTTTAAAAATAAATTATACATTTGAGAATTATTTTAATAATCAAAAAGGAGTGAAAACCCACAAATATGTTTTAGCCCAAATTCTAGCAATAAGTTTTCCTACAGACCTCTAAAAAAAAATTATGAGGTAATCTCCGTCAAATAATGCTCCTATCTCCATCAGACTGCTGGTAGCGCTTCTGGTTTTAATATTGATGATATTTATTTTATTTCATCTTATGTGTGATAATTTTATATATTTTTAATGATGAAAAATCAGAAAATAAATATTATTTTAAAAAAAAACTAAGCTATGAAGATTTTCCACATGTCACCTTCTGGAGAATATTGTAAACTGAGGTGAACTTATTCTTCGCCTCTTAATGATAATGTTAACGAACCTTTAATTCGAGATCCGGTCGAGTCGTAAGCAGCCATTCCCAACATTCAACTACCGTTTCCATGGATGGCAGGGTAAATTTATTAATGTAAGCCCAGGAGACCTGGTGCAGCAAGTTTTCATCCAATTCTTGTAATTATTTGTAATAAATAAAAATAATTTAATAATTTAATAATGTAAAAAATGTAAAATAGGGTGAGTCATATTGTCTAAATTAGGGGTGGGTTTCTTTGCTCAAAGTATTTCAGGTCGATATCTCATATTTTCTTTTAGAGATGATTCTAACTGTATATAATTATATTTGAGCATAAATTAAAGTCCTAAAATTCGACCCTAAGTTGTATTGAGAAGATTAATCCAAAAAAAAATATGGTTAAGCCTAGAAAAATCAAGCTCAGGCTAGGGAGACCGGGTTAATCTAGTGTCTTGCATTATAAACTATAATATGAATATTTTCTAGGTGTACTCTGCTTATTTTGGAGAACTATTAAACTCATCCTAAACTAAAAGTCATTTTAAAAATCGTATACCTAAAGATTATCACCACGAAGTCCAAATTTTCACTGCTTTTGTCCCTTACTAAATACTAATTACAACAAAGGCGTTTTATTTAAAAAAAAAATAGCATCACTTTAAGAACATGAAAGGCGTCCGAATTAGAGGTCTGCATAACCCAACTCGCTTCCGCCCGTTAAGGATTTTAGCACAAATCGTTATAAATTTTTTTTTTTTTAAATTTCCAGGGCCGAGTTTTCCAGATCTCTAATCCTTATAAACCTATTTGATTCATATAAAAAATAACCTGTGGAAAATATGAGCATGGCTGTCGCCTTTAGGTAAGTGTCCCTAAAAATTTCTTGGCTTACGAAATTGTTGCTCACCGTCACGAGTTTTTGGGTCATTTTTTCGGTGAGGTTATGGGTAACTTGCCCCGTTTCTTTGTAGGCGGCCTAGCCAATTATTATTTATTATTTTACTATAATTAATGAATGAATGAATGAATGGGCTAATCGCCACTAATTTACTAGAAATAATTGCCAAAATCTAATTAATCTCATCCATTTCCTAAAGCGGCTTCATGATTATATTTATAAAAAAAACATATGATTGGCTCTAATTAAAAAAAAATGTAAATCTATTTTCCGACACAAACTTTCAATCCTTCGATTTCCCCCTGGAATCTGATCTGGAGATTAATTTCCGATAAAAATTTTGACGTGTCGAATTTGACGCACGCCGGCCATCTTTCGTAGTAATTACCCTAATTTAATTTTTTTTTAAAAAAAAAATGAGTCAAGCTTTAACAAATTTTTTTTTTTTACCATCAATTGGCTAACGTTCGCGTTGAGCCCGGAGAACTTCATGATGCTCTCCAAGGCGAGCGAAAGACCGGCATGCTGCTGGTAGTCGAAGGCGGTTCCGTCGAAGGAGATGCTGGCGCTCGTTTCGTTGATGTAGTTTTTAAGGCACGATTTCGTGGCTACTGGGGCCCACCTCAGTGCTTCTTGTATTATACCTTCCGTTATGGTGATTAACTTTTATTACAAAGAGTTATAACTTTAAACCCTAAGTGCCGCCAAATTAAAAAAAATTTTAATTGGATAAACTAGTTTACGTGCAAGTTGGCCGATTTTGATACACTGGCCTGATGATTTACAAATTATACGAGTATTATATGTGTACGAAATGAACTAAGTAGCCTGTACCAAGTAAAGGGTGTATAGTAAGAGCCCGACCAGATCCTTAAAATAGTGAAGCACCCGATCTCAAAATTTCAAGGAGATTTAAGTAAAATTATTTACTGCTGCATCGATCAGTAAAATCTTGCAAAATCCTTTCCCTTCCTTCCATATCTTCCATGAATTTGATCTTGTAAGTCGTATCGGGAACTATGAAAAACTCTTCTATATTTTCATCCAGCGTCTGGTTTTTTTTTTTACATATAAATGAAAAATGAAATTTAAAAAAAATTTATCTTAAAGTTCCTACACATTTTATTACTTCCATATCCCGTTTTATGTCATGATTACACTCCTTACTAGTGTTATCAAACAGTTTGATTTTTAAAAACGGTAAACTCGATATTTTAGCCAGAAAAATAGTTTATAGATGTTCAAATCTTTGCGCCATTTATGGGCAAAATCTTAAGGTTAGCATGAAAACGAGCCTTTTAACAACACTACTCTTTACCAATGAAATCGAAAAAATAAATTTATCATTATTTTAAGGGGAAAAAATCATAGTTTTATATATAAAAAAAATGAGCTTTCAAGAAATATTTATAAGGAATGTCAATCGAGAGAGAGAAGAAAGTTTAAAGGAACTCACGAAATAGAGAGATTTGCTGATCAGGTGGAGCAGATCGAGCATGGTCTTAAGGACTACGCGATCCCAGAGGAGGTGCGGAAAGGCGTCCACGAGTTTGGCCAAGCAATAATCGGCCACTTTCCTTATCCGCTTGGAGGTGTGGTTGAATTTGACCAATAGAAATTGAGCGTGCCTCTCGAGACTCCTATTGGTGGATTCGTTTTTCGGTCTGCTTATCATTTGATCCAAAAATACGCTGAGGGGAAAGAAGAATATATAAAAAAAAATATATCATATTTCGGGGGGGGGGGGGTTTATTTCATTATTCATAAAAAAAAATCGCTTGTGAGGAAAATGGATGCCATACCAAAATTGTCTCGGCGATTCGAAATGAGGGGAATTATATAAATCACAGCTGGTTCGGGTAATGGGGAAAATTTATTAAATCGATAAAATTTGACTATTCGTAGCGGGTCTTTGATAGTTACAAATTTCTATCTAATAATATGATGGGGGGAAAAAATGGTGATAATTTTTTTTTCATCTATTAACTGACTTGAAAACGTTCTCGGTGATGGAGCAAACGCATTCCCATATCCCAGACTTGTCCTTTTGGATGGATTTGTCTTCCAGGTAATGGAACATATAATGTACGGCGTTGGTGTCTTCCGAATTCTTGACCCTTTATATATAGGGGATAAATAAATAAAATGTCATTTATTTTTAATCTTTGCAATTATTTTGATTTGTTCGTATGTTCCTTCAAAATAAAAAAAAAATCTTCAAATATTTTTTGATCTCTGAAGATTTTTTTTATATGAATATTTTTTTGATCAAATTTTACCTTATTTCAAAAATCTTTTTATAACTAAGACATTTTTTATGCACGACTCCTATTTAATAGCTCAGAATTAACAGTGAAATGCTCAGAAAAAAATTTAATTTAAAGATTCAGAATAAATATTTTATGCTTAGAAAAAGTATTGAATGCTCAGAAAAAATACTTAATGCTTAAAAAAATATAAATAAAAAAAAAACGCTCAGAACTAGTCACCTCATTGTTCAGAAAATATTTTTCCTTAGTACCATTGATTTCAAGAATTTGTTTAAGATTAGAAAAAATCTCGAAAAAATACTGGACCCTTCAGGTTCTCATTGACTTCTGCACCCTTTCATTTCAACGAGTATATTACGTCATATACCCTTCCCACCTTCCCGTCGTTGTATCCTTATCAGTTCTTCTAAATAAAAAATTACTGGTTACCTGGGTTTATTTTAAAAAAGTGAATCTTTTGATTTTCCAAACATGGTTTTGGCTTAAATAAAAATGGGATAAATTAAACATTACGAATATTATATTTATAAATTCTCCTAAAAACTTATTTTGAAAGGTATGAAACAAAATATTAAAAATATTTTAAACCCTTTAAAAAATAAAATTTCCCCTTTTTTTCATAATTTTACTTTTATAAGCCTAAATTATACTTTGAATTAATCTAATCTAAATCGTTTATATATAGAAAGAGAGAAGAGAGATAAAAGATGATAATAAAGTAACAATTCGTATTCTTGTGTTGATCTGATTTAAAGATAAAAGTAATTTTATATGGAATAAGAAGAATTCCCCATGACAAGTTATGTTCAAAAAATTACCCAACCCCCATCCACCCTAAAAAAACCTACTGATCCATATAATCTTATCTTTTTATTAGATTTCACTTGACACCCATGTCAAGATATGTTAATCCGTGATCTTAAGCCGAGAGCATATATTAATAAGCCTCAACAAGATCAACGATCAATAAAAACTCAACGATTCATTTAATTAACTTTAATTTGAAAATAAAATACTGTAAAAATTTATAAAGCAAATTTAATATTTTTATCCGAGAAATTCAAATTGTAAAAATATTTACGAGAAAAACCAAAATTTTTTACTTCGCAAACTCGTCTTAGATTTTAAGAAAAAATATCCATAAAATTCAAGCATAAATCCTTAGTTTTTAAGTATTTTTTTTTAATTCTGAGCAATTAAATTTAAAAAAAAAAATCTGAGAGTTTAATTTTTAATTCCGTAAGAAATAATACAAGTCATGAAAAAATATAAACCGTAACATTATTTTTTATTCCTAAAAATAATCTTTTCTCAAACTCTAATTCATTTCTTCTCATTTACAAAATGAAAAAAAAATTAATTAATTTTTCTTTCCTTTTCGTATTTAAAAATCTAAGTAAACCTCAAGGTCTCCAGCTGGTATATGGACAAAAGGTAGGACAGTTCCGCGAACGTCATCTGTTTGACGTAAGAGACAATTTCGGGCTTATTGCTGAGAATATTGAGGAGAGTATTTTTCAGAGTCATGAAGTCGTTCTAGTTCAATAAAATACGCGATTGCATAGATTACGTTATGATGACGAAAAAATAATCTTATCCGCCAACTCTTATTCGCAATAGAAACGGCGGATATTAACAAGTCATTCAAACCGAATCTGAATCCAACCCAATAAATCGTTAAAATATTTGTCTCATAAACCGAACCTATAAGAAGGTGCATGCACCGGTTCGAACCTTCAGATACCCTAACTCTTATACATTATTTATAATCAGTGTTGATTGATGAGCATTACTAACTTATTTTAAAATTTTTTCTATATCGCTATTATGACGGTGCCAGCTCTCAGCCATATAATTTTTTTTTTCTCTCTCCCTATATATATGTTATTTGAACGGAAATCAATCTTGGAAATATTTTAATTTGCAAAATGACTCAATATTACTTTAAAAGAGAATGGCGAATTTTAAATGACGATGCGTTTTCCTCTTTACACAATTCTAAAAAGTTTGCGAGAGAAAATGTTCGAACCGGTTAACCCGAACCCGTCCCGGCCCGACCCGATAATCTCTTAATTGCGAGTAATTTTGTTTTACTTAAACCGGCATTTGAAGAAAAGCTCAAAAAAATTTTGAGCAAATTTATTGAAACATTTTTTTTTAAAAAAAAGCTATAATCAAAGTTAGGACAATTGCATCGTATTGCACTGGGAGTAAGAACGAGAAGAAGATAAAAAAAAAAATCAAGTTTTAGCATTTAAATGAAATGAAATCTTAACCTGTCCGAGCTTGTCTCCCTTGATAGCGGTATTGTAGTGCAGATCGGACCTCAGGTGTTCCTTGAATATGAGCAAGGGTGATTTGGTAGCTATAATACTCACGCACCTGAACCATTCTCGGGGCCAAACGGAATTTTCTTGGGCGAAACCCAGTAGCACGCAGTACAGCCAGAAATCTCGGAAAAGTTTATGCATACGCGGTTTGGGTGAGTGAACGAAGGGTATGTTTTGCATTATCTATTTAAAAAATAATATTTTTAGGCTCTCAAGCAAAATATAAACAAACGAACCGTGGCTACTAACGGAATAAGTACTCCGAGGGTTTCGGCATTAGCGAAAGCTTTCATATTGCTAGCAGTTAACCCAGTTATATGGCTATAACCTAAAAAAAAAGATAAATGTTTTTTAATTTATCTTGTATAATAAAGTCTGTTAGAATTTTCCCATTTAGGTTATTCCATGCCAAGTAGATCAAAAAAAAATTTATTTGTCATGGGCTCGCACCACTTGGGATTTGAGTGGAACTTCGTACATATACTAAGGTTCAAGTAAATATAGCGGTGTTCAAGTTAGCAAAGATCTAATATTTCTGAAGGCATCAAGGGTCAAGATATGTCACTTTTTTTACAATGATTTTAAGCTATAAGAATGGGAATGTTTCAAAAAAAATATAAGAGCTAGGGTTGCGATAATTAAGTGTAACAAAGGTTTGTTTTACATTTAGCACTCCAAAGGGTCAGGAGAATTGATATAGATTTAACATGGAATGAACCACAATTATAACGATCTTTGAAGATATAATATAAATGGTTCTAAACCAGCAACAAAAAAGATTTTAAACGCTCTCCCAATAACTAAGGATTCAATTTAAATTAATAAAGGATTATATTCAGAGTTTTAGTCATGCTTACTGATGAGACCTAATAAGATCAAAGCGGCTATCTCATCTTTCTATATCAAATAAATATATTAAATCTGTTTATATTGTGTGCCTTGCCTAAAATTTTAATTGTAAGACATTGTTATGGTAAGAACCAATTGCTATGAATAATATACAATCTTTAATTATAATCACCTGGTATTCCGCCAAAACCGTTGACCGTGTTGTAGTTATAGTTTGTGTTCCAAACTGCGCTGCCACCTATAAATTTTAATTTTTACAACAAAGAAGAAACAATGAAGGAATTTTTTAACTCTCAATAAATATATTAAATTAAAATCTAGGAGTCTCAAACTTCCAGTGAGAAGACCCTGGACACCGGGGTTAAACGGAGAGGGGTTAGAATAGTTGCTCATCATGTTGGATGGGTTGTTGGCCGACAAATTGTAGGGGCTAACGGGCGCGTTGAGATTGGTGTTAGGGAGGGTGGAATTGAACAAGAGCCGCTGATTCTCCAGCCCCAATTGAACGAAAACTTCGAGAATGCGCAGTAGCATATCCATTTGCCAGGAGTCGTTAGAGATAGACGGAGAAGGACAAGCTAAGGCGGGAGACTTTCCGATATAAAAAATTTAGTTGAAAGAAATGTTATAAGATCATTCTAGAAGATAAATGATTTCACAATTATAATAAGTCATGGATAATTGTAAAACGATCATTCTAATCAAAAAAAAATAGAAGAAAAGTAATTCATTCAAACCTTATATTTTGGTCGGTCCTGACTATAACTTCTGATCCTTTTGTCCTTGGGTATCTTATACGTTAACGGTAAACCGGTCGGAATATCTTCTTCCTTTATGGTATCCTTCCGCACGTCTATTTTGATTCGAGGAGTATTATGGTAACCCGTAATGGTAGTAGTGGAGCTAACGATTTTGCGAATGGGAAAATCGCCAAAATTGGATATGACTATGGTTAGCGTTCTCAATATTTCCAAGGCGGCTCTCCTTACCCATTTAAAAAATATTTTAAAAATAACAAAACGAGATTTTGCGTTAAGAAGATACTATTAATTATTGTATTTTCTTTTAAATGATCATGAGACCCCGGTTTGATATACCCCGTGATTATTTATAGTGGAAGGACTGCCTCTCATTCTTGAATGCTCAAAATTTTAGCGTTTTTTTAATGACCAATACATCGAAATCGTCCATAATGACTGCAAACTTTTCTCTTCTTTTTTTATCTTTCCCTCTTTCCTCTTTTTCCACTTCTGTCAACATTTATATTGAGATAGTTTATTGTATTCAACTAAAAATAAAGCAATACTTGTAACTTATATCGCTAGCCTGCGACGAAGATTTGTTGAGAGATTGATTTTGAGAGGTCTTCATAATGACCATTATGAACAGGTCCATGATTTCTTTGTATATTTTTTCCTGAATTTTATAATTATATCATTTAATATTTTTTTAAATAAAAGGTTATAAAAAGACCATTCCAAGATCACTATATGCAATTAAGTAGCCGAACCCAGAATAATAGCCATATATAATCTTTCTAATTAAGGTGGCACCTTTTGCGATATTGCAACTTCCATTTCCCTCCTCCCTCACTTTCTAAGTGATTATGATATTGTAATAATAATAATAAAAATATGATTACGTCTGTACTAGGGTCCCCGGTGCCCAAGGAGGCGGCGAAGAGCATATTTCCCAGCTGTCGTATTATGATGATATTCAGAAAGTCGGAAGGCGGATGCCCGAATCTCTGCAGAAATATAGTGAGAACCGATTCCATCACCTGTGGTACGTCTCTCAATTGTATAGCCAACTCACCGAGCGAGAGAATGGTGTTGTGGAACACCATGCCGGTATCCCTGAAACATTTTAGTGAAATCCCGATAATTATTGCTATATTTGGACACACTTATTATTTGATGTTTTAATTAAGTTAAATTCTGAAGGTGTCGATGCTCTTATTTTTAAAAAATGGTAGATTTGCTTGATGAGTCGGTTATAAGTAATTAATTTCAATATATAAACTTGGAAGATGAATCGGCGTAATAAAGTCTTCCGGATATGGATGCCAGCAGAGCCTGCACACATTCTTTATCCCTTTGATAGATCGATCTGAGGGATCTGTGATTTTTATTTATTTTTTATAAACCCATTTTCGGAATTCAAAATTTTTTTAAATATATTTTGTTGGAATAGAGATTTTGAGACAACCACCTCCGAGGTATTTTAGGCCAGGGTGGGTAATTCGGTCACTATATAGCGTATGTGTTGTTAACACAATTATGGCAAAAGAGTTAAAAAAAATTAACTGAACCTAAAGAGGTTCAGAATTCAGAAGGCATTATTTAAAAATTTATATTCCCTAAATAGATCAACTAACCCCAGTCCTATAGAGACCATGTCTTGTGCAGTGTTGTTAAAATAGCGCGTTACTTTTTTCAGTAGCGGTAGCTTTAGCTGGCTACTTTTTTTTAGAAAATAGCGATAGCCGTAGCTCGCTACTAATTTAGAAAGTAGCGAAGTAGTCCTACTTTCAATTTTACATAATAAATACATCTAAAAAATATTAAAAAATATTTTTTATTAAATCTAAAATTATAATCCTTTTATTTAATTTAATCTTGAAATTTAAATTTATATTTTAAAATATACATTATAAATGTAGTTAGCATTATAAATCTAGTTATTAAAAATGTGTGAGATTGTTGAAGATAGCGAAATTTCTTTGGAAAATGAGAAAAATATAGATTATCCTTTCTATAATATTAATATATAGTATTAATATAAAATTCAAAATTAATATATTAATAATTACCTTTTATATTTTTAAAATCTTTATTTACCATAATTTAATGCTATTTTAATATTTTTTTATAAATGAATCTAAATCTCAGATAAATTTAAATTTTGTTATAAAGGTATTCTTCTTTTTTTATAAATACAATCGCTTTATATAAATTAGATTTCCAGAACTGTATGATGATGATAATGTAATAGCTGCTATCGTTCATCCTAGTTTCAAATTGGCCATACAATAATTTAACTGAATCTAAAGGGCAACTTGATAGGCTGATGGTAACGTTAAAAAATGCCATGCCTAACCACGATAATAATACTATAGCAAGATCGAAACCGCGGCCTTCCATAGATGAATTTTTTGAAATAAATAATAATAATAATATTATTGAATCTCTAGATGCTTTTTATAAATCTAAAAATACTCATTTAAATATTTTTATAATTTTTTTCATATAAAAAATGTGTTTATTAAATTTAATACTGCGTTGCCCTCAAGTGCTAGTGCTGAACGATTATTTAGTATGGCAAAGCTTATACTTTCTGATCATCGCTCTAGATTTAGGGAAGACACCGAAATGTTATTACTATTAAAGTTAATAAATAAATTATATATATATGTAACAAATTATAGTCATGTTTTTATACCAATATTTTATTTGTGGAAATAAAGTTACGAAAAAAATTATTTTAAAAAAATCAAAATAGCGTAAAAAGTAGCTAATAGAGCGCTACTCATTTGAAAACGATAGCGGTAGCGCGCATTACTTTTAAAAGTAGCGTTTAACAACACTGCTCTTATGTGAACTGAGCAATATTATGTTAAAATAAAAATATAATTATAAAACCTGCATATATTGTCTATGGCGGTTTCGCACAAAATCTCGAAATTGGAGGATTGATAAGTTTGCCTCTCAAATTTAGGTTTGAGCTTGGATATGCTGGTAACAGTGTAATAATTCGAATCGGCTCCATTTTGAAAAGTCGAATAATTTAACTTTTTCTTTATATCTATCTCCTTTATAAAAAAAAATTTTTGAATGATAGTTTTAGGGTATATACATATATATTCATATCTATCACAAATAATTTGGATATTTTGAGCATTCGTAAGTTAAAAATTGTTATAGTTTGCTAAATAGTCATTCATTATCGATAATTCCGAATTGATTTCCAAATTTAATAAATGTAATAGGTGTAATATACAATAATATTTAAAAATACCAGGTATTTTACTTTCTAAAATTGATATTTTAAAAAAGATATGCAACCTATTCCAATCAATCCTTATAATACAATTTTAGCTTCACATTGGAGAAAAAGAAAAAGAAATGGAGAAAAAGAAAAAGAAATGGAGAAAAAGAAAAGGAAAAAGAAATGGAGAAAAAGAAAAAGAAATGGAGAAAAAGAAATGAAAAAACGATGTAATGAAAAAAAAATCTCTTTTTAGTTATTTTTCACGAATTTTTTTTATATAAAATTTATTATTTTAAGAAATTTTCATTTTTTTTTTGATATTTTGAACTTTAACTTTTTTAAATGGTTGAGATTCAACTGAGGGTTCCATGAGCTCAGGTTTAGGGATCGGATTCGCATCCCTAAATCTATGTGTTCATGGTTTTAATTTTTTTTAACTAGCGCTCACTTTCTCAAGCCATGCCAGAGGCGTTTTAGGGTTGGAGAGCATAATTTTTAAGAAGATAGTAACACTCAAAAATTGAGCGTTTGCAAAAATATCATTTCCAAAAATTTAGATATTTCGAGTGTTCGTTGCATTAAAACTAAATCGCCTTCATATTAGTCGCGTCGCGTTGATTCCGAAGAATCCTTATATTTTGGAGTGACAGGTATATAGATTAGATTATAACATATTTAATAAATACTCTCTATAAATATATAGTTTAGATTTCCTTCGATTTCTCTTACGCTAGAACACTCTGGGCCTCAGTTATTTATAGGTAATGTTTAATCTCTGAAATTAAAAAAAAAGTTTCGTTTCTAAATATTTTTCCAAAATGGAGTTTCGGATTCCGGTTTCAATCAATTTTTTAATAAGTTCCAGTTCTTTCTTTTATTTTATTTTCTATTTATTTATTTTTTTATTGTTTTTTTTCGCGCTTATATACATATATTTTTTTTTTACAATCGTTGTTTTTTTTTATATTTATTTATTTATTTATCTACAGTCAATCAACTTTTTTCCATTTTATTTATCCAATCTTTATTATTATTGTTCCTTATTATTCGTATAATTCGCCATTATATTCCTTTCCTTTGTAAGTGCTAGTCGCGATATCTTTCTCCCTTAACACGCCACCCTCCAGAAGAGTCGATCCTCCGCATCCTCCTCCCAGAGGTTGCCCCACTCCGAATCATTTACCATGAAGTCTAACCAGCCTCCGAGCTCATCATCGAAACCTTCCACGTGGTCCAGAACCGCCACTAGATCCCGCCATTCCTCTGTCTCCATCACTCCTTGATTATCCAGTTGTTAAATCAACCACTGGCCATATCCTTTGATCCACGCTAGCTGTTCTCACGATGTTCGAGCTGTTCCTCTTCCTCGTCTCTCCTCGTTCCCGAAATTTCTGCTATAGGCCTTAATTCAAAGCTTCTCACCTGCTCCGTTCGTATCCCCAAAATCGCTGCTCCCGGAATTTCTGCTATAGACCTTGATTCAACACTCCTCACCGGCTCGGACATAAACCGAAGCTGTGAAATGTGTAACCTATGGGCCAGTATGCATCATAGAGACAGGAAAAGTGTATCGCCAAAGAATACACAGCATTGGGAACGTATCCATCCACATGGATTTCTTTGAATTTGAGGCAAACATATTTAATTGTGGTAGATGCATACTCGAAATGGGTAGAATACGAGGCAGTAAGTACGCAAATTGTAATAAAGACATTAAAGAATTTATGGGCTCGTTTTGGCGGTCCCGCTTTTGTGAGAAAAAATTTCGCGCGGAAGGTAAGGAAGAGAGCTCGACCATCGTCAGAGGACAGCTAGCGTGGATCAAAGGATATGGCCAGTGGTTGATTTAACAACCGAAAGTGAGGTCCCGAACGATATGTCGGCGGAAATGATCTAACGAGGGGAGAGGTTGCCGAGGCGGCCGAACGTATGGGAAATAATCGAGGAGTGATGGAGACAGAGGAATGGAGGGATCTTAGTGGTGGTTCTGGACGACGTGGAAGGTTTCGATGATGAGCTCGGAGGCTGGTTAGACGTCATGGTAAATGATTCGGAGTGGGGCAACCTCTGGGAGGAGGATGCGGAGGATCGACTCTTCTGGAGGGTGGCGTGTTAAGGGAGAAAGATATCGCGACTAGCACTTACAAAGGAAAGGAATATAATGGCGAATTATACGAATAATAAGGAACAATAATAATAAAGATTTAATAAATAAAATGAAAAAAGGTTGATTGACTGTAGATAAATAAATAAATATAAAAAAAACAGTGATGATATTGTAAAAAAAAATATATATGTATATAAGCGCGAAAAAAAAAAACAATGTTAATCAATTATTAATTTTCTTGTATTTTTTCTTTGTTAAAGTAAATAAAGAATTTAAAGTGAGCAAAAAAATAAATAAATTGAAAAAAATAAAATAAAATAAAAAAGTTCTTTTTAAGAGTTGTTTTTGTGTGTAATAGTTGTTATAGGTGTTTTTGTAAAAGTTGTTTTAATAGTGGTTTCCGGAATATATCCCGGTTTCTGTACAAGAAGATAAACTAGGCAGTAGACCGGAAAAAGAGCTGAAAAGCCCCCCCCCAAGGCTCTTATAGCGAGACCCCGCCTAAGTAAAATTCCTCGCTAGGTCACTGATTGGTGTGAACTACTACAAACAAAAAAGTCACGTAAATATTTATGATCATGGATAAACCCTCCACGGCTGAAAATGATGAGCCCATTTGTTAGTATACAATAAAATAGAACAATTTTTAAACGACGATATTAAAAAAACAATGTATGTATATTATGTGCATATTAAACTTGTTCCTTATATAATTTGGCTAGAGGTGACGTCGGTTTTAACAAGAAATCGAGGAAGGCTGGTATGATGATCATTTGTGCAAGATAAGAATCCTTTTCGGCTAAAGCTCCTAACGCCTATGACATAAGTAAATATATTTAAAAAAATTTCAAAAATAGGTATCATAATGTTTTATATACTTAAGTTATCAAGGCTTTAGATTATGCGATGCCGCTGCATAAAATAACCATATTGGCCATGGGTAGTTGATTCAACAGCATTACCTAAAATTTCCATTAAACTCGAAAAAAAAAATCTACTAAACTCAGCTCAAGATTCAAAGAAACGTTATTAAAGTTACTATAAAATAAAAAGTAAGATAATGTATGACCTTGAGACAAGCAACGAGCAGTGGCATGTGAGCTATTATGATCCGCAGACTGTAGGAAGCGGAAAGTCTCTCGATCAATTTAGTAATAAAGGCTTCGACAGCTTATAATTTGATTGGCAGAAAATATAAAAAATAATAATAATCTATTATTCGAATGTCATTCGCGAATTGTCAATCAAAATAAAATTCGAATCAACTAAAATTTTATTTTGGCGCAAAAAAAAATTTGATGATTGGTATAACTTTCTTCTTTATTAACGGCCCATATCAAGATCTCGATACAAACGGAGTTAGATTTGACGCATATTTCGAATTTTTTATGATTGAGTGACGGGCAATGAGAGAAAAGGGAAGGTTTGTTGTTTTTGGAACTTACTTTGTTCTCAGAAGATTTGTTGGGATCCTCGGATGACTTAGAATTCGTAGTCGCGTTTATGTTTTCGTTGGAAGAACTCATCAAATTGTGGTGGGTATAGCTAAACAATTCGGCCTGACCGGCCATGAATAGTTGCTGAGTAAATTTGTGGACATCATCCATCAGGGAAACGCTCGGTTCTAACAAATTTTTGTTTTATTAATGAGAAGATATTAAGTTTTAAGCCCCTTACTTTTTGGTGAGATTTCAATAAAACATTAGAATATTCCTCCCCCCCCTATTTTCTAATGATTCTAAAGATTTCTCTTCTCTACTTTTTTTTCATTCTTTTTCTATGTAATTTATTTTATAAAAACTTGTATAATTAAGTAGAACGTTGTGGAGGAATGTTAAGCAGGTGTAATTCATGATCTCTTTGTATGAGGAATAGATGTAAGAATAATGCGTAGTCTAAAATTTTAAAGTTAAATATAAAACATACGTATTGTTAAATCATCACGTGATAAATTATAATTAATAAACAATAATACTCGAAAAACTCAAATTTTTGGCTCTCGCCATAAATTTCTGTTTTTTTTGTAAATAAAATGTCACTTCCGGTCCGTAATCGCTCACCTTTTCCCAAATTAGGAACGAGGTCCGAACCGGATAGTTACCACTCCCCTTTTACGACAATCATAGGCGTCGATAAGGGAAGAACGAAAACTTGTTAGTAGCGTTATCGAAAACATCGTTTTAGCTATTTAGGCTGAAATCTTTGAGGTTTTCGACAACATCAAGTCTAGTTCACCGTCCTAAATATTTTTTTTTGATTTGAACAAGTATGAATGTTAGGGAGGTGGCGAGGCAACGACGCGGAAACGCTGCAAAAGGGAAGTTTAAAAAAATATTTCATTTATGCGCATGTACGTTGCTAAAATTGATCGTTATTATATCGAGCGCCGACAGAAGTTCTTTATCCAATAAACGTTTGACCTTTTTTTTAAAAAAATAGGCATAGCATAATATAATTTATTTTTTAAAGGATCTAAAATTGTATAATTCACTCATTTTTTTTTTAAAGAAATGAATCTTTTGAAAGACTATTTAAAATTAAAATTAATTCAGTAATAAAATATACTTTACATTGTAAAAAGTTAATTTTAATAATAAATGAATTAAAAAATTTAGCACATATCACATTCAAAGAATGGCGGGCACTTTATTGAGGGTGAAAATCTTCAAAATTTTAAAAAAAAAACCTAATCAAATTTTTATTATTTTTATTTTGTTTTCTTAATCATTCCTTCCTTTCCATCCTATCACCCTTGAATGGCCCACAAGGTCAGCTGGCCATCTTCCATTTGGTTTATTGGACAAGCATCCTAGAAGCCAGCTGTCCAAGCCTGTAGTGGCATTTCTCGGCTCAGAAATTCGTCTCATCATATGTCATTACACATCACAATCATCGAAGAAAAACATGAAATTTACAGTAGTTCCTCACCAGGATTGAACCTGGGACCTTTGGTTTCCCAGCATACATCATAAACTACTAGGCCACCCCGGCGACTTCCTCCTTTCCTTCCTATATATATGTTAATTTTTTTTTACTATATTTAAGCAGGAAACGACTTGATCGGCACTGAATCTGGGTCTCACTAATTGGTCTTTTTTATTTGGGTACAATTTGGAAGCGTATTGACAAAACGTTCCGTGAATGTTGTTGCCGAAGAAAAATAGTTCGGGTTTTAGAGAATTGGGGTCCGTTCCGTCGAGGGAGGATTGCAATTTGGAGTCACCTGTCAAGGCTTTATTTTCTGATATTAAGGTTCGCAAAATTTATGGGCATACTAAAAAGCTTTAAAACTTAATATAAAAAAAATAAAAGTAGTTCTTTTTTGTTTAAGGGAACTAACTTATAAGTAGATAAATTGGTCATTAAAACATTATTATGAAAACTGAATATTATGGTCATTAAAACATTATTAAATATTAATCTTTCTCTTTCTTTCCTTCTTTTCCTTTCTTTCTTCCTTTCTTTCTTTCTTTCTTTCTTTCTTTCTTTCTTTCTTTCTTTCTTTCTTTCTTTCTTTCTTTCTTTCTTTCTTTCTTTCTTACATATGATCGTACTAAATATTCAAAAATTTTTTTTTTTTATTAAATTCAAAGAATGAACAAATTCTCTCTCTCCGAATAATAGGATTCAAATTTTAAGCCCTTTTTGAAAAAACCCCTCCCCAACCAACCTTATAAAAAAACAGAATTAAAAACGGGTAAAAAAAAACTAGAATATGAAAAGTTAAATGTTAAAAGAAAAATAAAAATAATACTTCTAGTTCCAAACGGGGCATCTTTAAAAAGTGTCAAAGGTACTCTCACGCTAGGAATGATTAACTGAGGTAAAACGCCTTTTTAAAAGAGTTGAGGATAATATAAGAAAAAATTATTTTTAGAAATTAAAATTAAAATTTGATTATAAAAAACGAAAAAAACACGACACATAATGCGATAACAAAAAATAAAAAACAAAGCAAAAGAGTATACAGAGGTTGTTTTTTTTTAAAGTGTTTGAAAAAAAAATAAGAGAGTTAAAATTTGACGGTACATTATACTTTTTATAAAACTATAACACCCATTTTATAACTCGACGAAATTTAGTAACGAATTTTCTATCCCCAAATTTAAGGAAACTGATCGTTTAAATGACATTAATTTTTTACAAATTCGACGATAAAAACGATGGACAGAACATTTTGACAAGACAAGAAGATGAGAATATTGGATAAATTGGAAAACGGATAATATATTACTATTTTTTGAGGAGGTTTCTTAGAAATATTTGGTAGAAATCAACCGGACCTTGAACCCGGTTCTGATAGTCCATCACAAAATTGATCTCATCAAACGAATAAAGAAGTTTTTCGATTAGATTACCAATAAGTATTTAATTAATATTCGGTCTCGAACATCTCGTTTTAGCTCACCGAAATAAGACAGAAATTTTCTCGTCGAATTGGCGAATTAATGTTATTTAACGCAAATTTGGTTACTAATTTTATATACGCGATCTTAGGAGTGATACGCGCATTTGATAACCTTTAATTCTTACATTTGGAGAGAAAATTCGTAGCTAAATTTCGTTGAGCTTGAATTGCGATAAATTTCTTTATTTAATTCTCTGATCGTTTTAACGTTGTTATTGCCATGCAAAACTAATATAAAGCTACTACTCTTTTAGGCTGTGTCCTAAATATATATTTTAAAAAAACAACTCAAAAGTTTTAAGAATTGCATAACTTTCGTGAGTTTTGAGAGGTATAAAAAACATGTCCCGAATTTTCCATTACATTTTCAAAAGTATCGTTAAATTCTCCATTTAAAAATAATTCGATATTCCATGAGATCATATAAAATTTTCACGATTCGTAGAACTTTTAAGAATCACAAAACATTCGCGAATTAGAAAAAAAAATCATTTAGCCCAACATTTCAATTTTACGCTAAATTGGCCTTTTTTTCTCGCTAAATTTGTGTAATTTTCGAAATTCAATTCTTTATATACATAGATTTTTTAGAAAAATTTAATTTTCAACAAACATCGAAAACGAATATAATCTAAAAAAAAATTAATCGATTTGACGAATATTCAAATTACATAAAACATTCACAAAACGCTCGTCAATTTTTTAGATACAGAGTGCTATGAGCCAGGCACACGTAATTAACTCTGGGGCGAGTTTGGACCACCATTTCAGACCGCGGTCCGGGTTTGGACCGACAATTTTATTAAGAACCCGGTTCCCGGACCGGGCCCGACCACAAAAATTTGTGTAGGACTTTAAATATTTTACCGAGTTGTGTCGCGTTAAGATTATTATCCGATATTAAAAGGTTAGTTTCGGAGTAGTACTGAACCGCGTTATTTGCCTGGATCACGGGCTTGTTATTTGTCGCAAAATTGCTGGACGATATGCCGGGAAATAACGGGATGCGCGTAGGACCAGCTATGTTAGAATGGCCGCTGAATTTGCGGGCTAGCGGGTACGAGGTGAGGGTGGAGTAAGGGAAGGAGGAAGGAAAGATTTCGGTGAACACGTTCGGACCTCCCCCAGCTTGGGGCAAAAAGGTCGGTTGACCAATCGTCCTGAAAATTCCTATCATAACGGGAACCAGTATGAGCAGACTCGATTCTGTGGATGGAAAGGAGAAAAAGGATATCATCTCAAATATCTTTAGGTCTAAATAATAACTCTAAAACGACCATTTTGAATTTAAAACTTTCTTGGCTCAATTATTATCGTTTTTATGTATAGTAATTGTTCAATACATTTCCTACTTTCCTCTTTTTTGACTAGATACTATAAAATATATAAAATTCCTCAGGCATATACGTTTATAAATGAATCGATAATAATGATAATTTATATTTCTTGTATAGATGCAACCAATAAATTTATTTATTTCAGGAATAATAAATAATGGATGAAATAAAAGCCATTTGTCATTTTAAAAAAAAAACGAAGTTGTTTGTTTGAAGCAATGTAGCCGCACAGGAAATCTCGATATCCGTGGCCCACGTGACATTGCAACCCATTTTGCTTTTCACAATGTAATCCATTGCGTTATCCCCTATGAATCCGAAGTTGAGATCTTTTTCTTGAAGCATAAAGGAGATATGAGAACAGTCCTGATCATTTCATGATGTTGCTCATCATTGCTGATTTCCTTGCTAAAACATCTTAAAAAACAGTTTCCATCGCTTATAATCGGATCAACCTTATCAGGCTCCCCCAAGCTTAATGATTTCTGATTTTGAATATTTTGTAACACAAACAAAGTGGGCTTCAAGTTACAAATTTATAATAGTCTTACTAAAAATGCTATGGCATGCCCTCTTTTTACATTTTCAATTAATAATATAATACCAAGATACAAGCAGTGAACCCCAAACTTTAAAATTAGCATTTGGTCCATATTTTAATCAGCAACAGAGGTGAAAAACATGTGTTCCATTTTCCATGGAGCCAAATGTGTTATTGAATAAACTTGTTCATAATTATCAACCTCTCAAGATTCCATTTGTTTTCCAGCCAATAAGAACAGAATGGAAAAAAATATCATTCTAAGTTAGGCATGACTTTGGTTGTGTCACAAAATACTCAAAATCAGAAATCATTAAGCTTGGGGGGGAGCATTGATAAGGTTGATCCAATTATAATCGATGGGAACTGTTTTGTCAGATGTCTTAGCAAGGAAATCAGCAATGATGAGCAACATCATGAAATGATCAGGACTGTTCTGATATCTCCTTATGCTTCAAGAAAAACATATCAACTTCGGATTCATAGGGGATAACACAATGGATTACATTGTGAAAAGCAAAATGGGTTTCAATGTCACGTGGGCCAAGGATATTGAAATTTCCTGTGCTGCTACATTGCTTCAAACAAACATCTTCGTTTTTTTAAAATGACAAATGGCTTTTATTTCACCCATTATTTATTATTCCTGAAATAAATAAATTTATTGGTTGTATTTATATAAGAAATATAAATTATCATTATAGCGTAGTTTTTATCCTGTAAAATAATATATTAACAATTCATCTATAAACATATATGCCTGAGGAATTTAATATATTTTAAAAAAAAAGTAGTATCTATACAAAAAAAAGAAAAAGTACGAAAAGGTCGTACGAAATATATTTATTTTAATTTCACGGAAGGCGACGAATAAATTCGATTTTGAATGATTTTATTAATCTACTTTAATCAACTAACTTTTTTACAATTTTTCTATACTATATATATATATATATAATTATTTTCACAATCTTCTATTCTCCCTTCCTTCATTCCTTCCTTCCTTCCTTCCTTCCTTCCCTTCCTTCCTCCCTTTTACATATATACAATTTAAGATTTGTTTTTAAGGTTACTTTACGAAAAGAACAATTTAAGTTAATTTAACGTTTTTACACGTATAAAAAGAAAAGTACGATAACTTTTTTAAAGGTCGTTCAAAATATATCTAACAAAAAGAAAAGTCCGAAAAGATGGCACGAATGAAGGATCATCCGGGTAAATTCGAGTTCAAATATACAGGATATGCGCCGATTCAGCAAGGATTAAACCCTAACCTCTAGTCACATTATTTTCTTACTCTCCAGCTCGGGTTCACTTCCAGAGATATGGGCTGTTGATAAAATGAGCGCCATTTATAAAGTGAGGTCTAATTATGATTGGTTTGAGAATACCCAAAATAAAATACAAAATGGCCATAAATAAAATGAAGAGTTTATACGTTTCCATAAATAAGATGGATAAATAATTAAAGAACTGTATACAAAATCATAGACCGAAACTCAAGAAGATACGACATTTTCCGAAATTGGACACATAGTTATAGGAAAAAAAATAATTTAAAGTACTATCCGTTAGTTCGTTTCGCTCTTAGCCGCTTTAACCGGTTAAAAAACGGGCCCAACGCAGAAAATTGGCACCTTCGCTTAGGGATTTAGCCATAATCCAACTATATTATCAGCGCTAGGCTCAATATAAGATTTTGAACAAATATAAAGAAGATTCAGTGATGAATTTTATAAAAGCGTTAAAGATGATAAAAGTTGAAATCATTTTTTTTAGGCCTAATTGTTTCCTGGGATATTTGAAATTTAAAACGATGCACCTTTTCTAATTTCTCACTTTATATTATATTAATAATCTATATCTCCTGAAGTAGTCAGAGTTGTAGTTAGTGTCGATGAATGGCTGGATTTGGGCCTATTTCTAAAAACGGCTAACTCAATATTTTATCCAGGAAACTGTTACTCAAGCCTGAAAATTTTGCTCACAGATTGGCACGAAGGTCTAGACATGTATCAGCGAAACCTGGAGTCTTGGACAATATTTCTTTGGGCTAAAATAAAAATGGGCCGTTTAACAACACTAGTTGGAACATTTAAGGGTCTTTTTTTTGCCCAAAATTTGGAATGCAAAAAAAAAAATATTGATTGTGACAGAAAATATATATCGGAGACCTGCAGGCCCGGAACTAACTCAGGCCCGGTCCAGGATTTTAAAAAAAATACGGGCCCGGACCGTATTTTTTAGCCCCAAATATTTGAAATCACCATTATTAGCTGTAAAAATCAAAAAATATATATAATATATCTGGGTAAGGCTTGAAAAATTTTTTCTTAAAAAAAAAATATGGTACCTCGATGGTCTCTGCTGATATATAAATATATTAATTGCTAAAAGTATTTAGTGGCAAAAAAAATTTTTTTTATAAAAATTGATTCGAAATATTTCGAACTAGTATTAGAACTTTAAAGAAAAAATGAAGAATTTTCCTTCAAAAAATTTTTTGCTCGAATTTTATGACATTTTATTTTGTCTGACTCTCAAAGTTTGAAATGGTATTTTATATGATAAAATCCTATATAATTTAGAGAAATTCAAATTGTTTTTCTTTTAAACCTTCGATTGGTCTTCCGTTTTGATAATCAGTCCTTAAAGTGTGACATATGTCTATTAATTTGTTGAGTATTTCGAATAAGGTGTTCAATATCTCAAATTTAAAAAAAAATATATATATAATTATTTGTTAAAATTTATATTTTTTTGCTTTATTTGGTTAATTTAGTAATCTGATCAAACTTGGCTTAATTGGACTTGGCAAACATTCTTTCCAACTAAATTCAATTTGAACCTTTATTTTAACTTTTATACAATATGATGCTTTTTCAAAAACGAATACGATTTGAATAATTAATTATTTGTATTCAATTCATTTCAAATTGAATAATTGATTATTCTTATTTATAAATCTTTTATTCTTATTAAATTTGTATAAATTAGGAATGGTAAATTATTTAATCCATTTGAAAAGAATTGTATCTAAATAATTTTATTTGATTTCAATTAGTTTTTGAATAAGTCTATTTCACACATGAATATTATTTTCTCCCTCAATTCAATGCTTAAAACTTTTCTACTTTCATCTCAAATATCAGATTTTAAAAACAGGCCAATAAAAAAATTTAATATGATATGGTCTAGATAGTCAAGAGTAGGGGAGTGGGGGTTCCATTCTATAGAATGCCATAGACTATCCATTATTATATGATCTTATTTTTAAATTTTATTTTTTTTGATATTAACTTGTTCTTTGTAAGTATCATCTCTCACATATATTTCATTTAAAAATGAACCGATACAGAATGCAAACTCTTCGGACATTGGTATTCCTGATGTGACATTGATTATAAATATAATATGGGTTATAAAAAATTATTTTGAATAGCTGTTATTAAAAATACAAATTTTGATCTAGAATATATGCCTATGAAAAATTTATTACTCATTTAAAGTCATAAATTCATATTTCTCTTTATTTAATAAGAATTTTACACTTGAATATTATTTTTCCAAAAATTTTATAAATTTATTTTAAGTGTTAAGGCATAACTTTCAATAATAATTAGATTAAAAAAATATATATTCTATCCATTTGATTAAAACATATATATCTTATTTACTGTTTTTAGAATATTTAAAAAAATCAGTTGACCATGAGGCATCTGGCAAAATTTTTACTAAATTAAGTATATAAGGAACAATCTCATCTTTAAACTAAGGTAAAGGTATAGATAAATTAGATAAACATTATAAAATACTTCTAAATTAGAATCTAAAAAGTATATAGCCAATGCTATCAATGCCTGGTGAGATTGAATTGTTATTTCACATTTTTTATCCTCAACTGAATATGAAGGACAATATTCAATTATTCTGGAAACCTATATTTAATAATAAAAATAACGACAAATATTGTGGTATCAACTTGATCGAAATTACAATTGGATTTAGCTAATGATCTTGCTAATGCCTTCAAGTTATTAAACAGAAAACTATTCGGCATTTTAAGCATATCATTAACATATGCTTTTATGTATGAATGAGATTTAGGATAATTTAGTACAATTTAACTTTCAATTCAATAATAGCTAGAAAGGTCTTGTGCTTTCCAACTATAAGCACACCCAGCGAGGGTGTATTTTCCATAGCTAAGTTCACTTTGAACTCTAAAATATCAACAATATGTCCTATAAATCTAATTAAAATAATATTTATACAATAATTATAACTTAATAAAATCGTTAAATTATAGTTATAAACATAATAAAGCATAAATTTTATTTTAAAAGTGTTTACAATGAATTAATAATTTTAATTAAAAATTTTAGTTAGAAAAATATTTGACGCCACCTCGCCCCAATCGATTTTTGTGGAGGCATCCATATCGATTTAATGCCGCCAGTGGCCCCTACACTTACTGAGCGAATGAAGCAGAATACCCCCTTGAAAAGTACCCCCTTCCTCGAAAAAATGATAATTATTTTATGACATCCATAAATTTCCAAAAAAAAATTTTATTGCATCAATTTTTAATATATAATATAAATAAAATGCAAAAGATATATACTTTATAAATATTAATTTCAAATTAATAATTTAGATAAATTAGGGGAAGAGAAAGCGAAAGAATATATAATTTCATCAATATTTAATTGTTTAAATAAATTTTTTTCCATTGATAATATGGTTGAATTATTGAGAAATGTATCTTTCATGGTACTACGAAGTCTTGTTTTAAATAATTTAATTTTACTCATGACTCTTTCAGCAGTATATGAGGTTATAGGAATGGTTAATAAATATTTATATAAAATTCTTAAATTAGAGAAAGCAGAAAAATTTAAAAATAGACGATAAGGTTAAATAAATGAATAGTTTTTCCAATCTGAATCGTAAGTCCCTGAATTATCATCATCATTAGAGCTAAATAATGTATTGGTAAAAATATTTTAATTAAATAAATTTACAATTCTCAGAATCTGATAAATCTTTAGATTTCATGAGTAATAATTACATTCCCCATTTTGGCCATCTTATAAATATTTCCAAACTTCAACATTTCTTCGAAAATTTGACTTGAATTAAAATTGTAAAATTCACAGATATTCTCGATATCTTCTTTAATAATTGATTTTTCTGCCCTTCCCTTTGGCGTAAAATATGATGTTTGATGTAAAATTTTATAAAATCATCATTAAATCTTTCGTTAAACGCATATGTTGTATTCATTAAAATTTAATAAAACTAAATTAAAATTTATTACCAGTAGATTGGTAATAGGAATTTCTTGTTCTACTTTATCAAATCTCTGCTATGTGTCTACCTATAAAAAAATATAGCATAGATAAAAAATAAGAGTAATTAAATGACCTAAGGTTCACTAATTTCATAATCATTATCAGAATCATCAGATACTATATTTTCTTCTAACATATTTTCTTTATTATTAGGACACTTTTAAAAGATAATTATATTAATTAAAAATATTTATTATACCAACAGCATTGAATTCCCAATTTTTACTTCTTTTTTCGTATAAATAATTATATTTAATAAAAAAATTGCTTTGCTTATTGCCCAATTTTGAGTAACATTCTTAAAAGCTAATCCCACCATGTCTTATTCTAATGTGATCCATCCATTAATCATCTATTATATTATCAGGGTTGCCATGCCTCCCCCAATCAGCGGGAGACTCCCGAAATTTTTTAGTTTACACGCAGACATCTTTCTCCCGCAAAACTATCGCAATTAAAATTCTCCCGTAAAAATCTACCGCAATTTTTTAATTTCTCCCGCAATTTTTTTTAGTATTTTAACATTTTTAATATATAAATAATAATTTTGAGAGACATTAATTAATTATTTTTATATTTTTAAAATAATTTTAAATATTTATTCGAAAGACATGTCTAGTTTGTATATTTCTTTCTATACTGTTTTATTTTTATCCAATAATAAATCAACATCATTTCATTCATATAAGTCAGTACAGGGGAGTATATCAACATCGATTGCAATATAAAAATATTCTCAAATAAATAATACAGCTTCAATTACATTTGAGGAAATCGTATACATCATCATGTAGTTCAACATTCACAGAGCTATATCATCACAATGTGGGTCGAATCTTTTTCTCATAATATTTAACGACTCCAATATAAGTGCAAACCTTACTTGTGGCAGAACAAAAATGAGCAAGGCTATCACAAGTAGTACCTGAATTCTAGAGGTCAATTCTAGACGATTTGAAAGATGGGCATCCTTATGAAATTCTAACAGATGCAACTAATAAGGGATTCGATCCTTCGCTATTTCAACAACAATAATAACATTTCAATAAAACTGTTAAAATTTTTCCTCGGATAGTGAAAAATCCAACGATGTAGCTAGTCACATAATGGTAAATAGCTGATTAAGGGTTATCAATAATTTGCATGTCAGCTTTCTGCGCTGATAATGCCTAATTTTAAAAGTTACCGAATTGAGATAGCATAATAATATATTAATACTTGGCTGTATATGCCATATACTACATAATTCTTGCAAGAAGACAATAAATGTAATCTGTGAATGTCGAAATAATTATGATAAAATGTTTTAACGAATTTAGTCATCAACTAAAAATTTAATAAATTAAAAGAGTTTTAAAATTTTACAAACCCTTTAAAAAATATTTCTTAAATATAAATTTTAAAAGCTGTCCTAAAATTTTGAAAATTTTTTTTTTTTAGTATGAAATGGCAGAAGCATATTTGGTATTCGTTTCACATGTAGGAAATCTACTTCATGCAGTTAATATTCAGTTGCAGTCAGAATATTCTTTAAAAAAAAGATTCATAAAATCATGCTACAGCTCTGTTCATCTTTACAGAAAAATTGATAATAAATTTCGCTATTGATAAAAACATTATATTAAAATGTTCAAATAAAACTCTAATTAATACATTTTTAAATGAAGCAGATATTTTTATTAAGACAATTTTAGAATATTTACAATCAAAATTTGAATTTAATAACTCTATTTACATATGTATAAATATTATGACTTGGAACAGAAACCATCAATTGATGGTTTTTATAATTTAATAAATATATTAAAAATACCGAAAGACATTGATTTCTTGTCTGTAGAGATGGTAATTCTCTTTATTTTTTATGATTCGCCAAAATACTTAAAGTTAGATGGTCTAAAAGCAGAGGAGAAATGGGTAGAATTTTTTCGTAATAACGATAAATCCCCATGCTTGGAAAAAATATGCGAGTATGTCTTCTCCTTACCTCATTCTAATGCCTCCGAGCGCATTTTTAGCCTGATGAGGACTGCCTGGGAAAAGGAGAGAAATCGGATTGCTTTAACAACATTAGAGCCGAGCTAATGGTTAAACAAATATATAATATGTCATGCCAGGAATTTTATAAATATCTCAATAACGACGGTAAACATTTAGTTCTATTATTTAATCTCAAATAAAATATAATTAAGTTTTAGCAATGGAGCCATAAAATTTATTGTCATTTTTTAATTGTAAAGATGAACACATCTGCAGCATAATTTTGTGAATCTTTGTTAAGATTCTTCTGATTGCAACTACACATTAACAGCATGTAGTAGATTTCTTACATGTGAAATCATTCCTAAATATACCTCTGCCATTCATTATTGAAAAAAATTTTCAAAATATTAGGACAGCTTTTATAATCTTTATTTAAGAAATATTTTTTTAAAGGTTTATAAAATTTTAAAATTCTATCGATGGCGGGTATTAGGAACATATCGCAACCAACATTGTGCTAACTCAATTTTGTAAATACACTCTGTTTTTACCAAATTAACTGAGGCATTATCAGATCATAAAGCTGACATGCAATTTATTGATAATCTCAAATCTGCTATATTTACCATTATATGGTTAGCTATGTCTTTGGATTTTTCACTATTTGAGGGGAAAAATAGTTTTATTAAAACGACCTTAATTTTGATGAAATAGCGGAGCTTATTAGATGCATCTATTAGAATTGCATATGTATGCTCATTTTTCAAATCGTCAAGAATTGACCTCCTGGATTTAGGTCCTAAAACATTAATGATATCCTTGCTCATTTTGTTCTACAAGTATAGTTTTCATTTATATTAGAGTCGTTAAATATTATAGGAAGAGGATTCTACCAACATTGTAATGATAGATATCTCTGTGAATGTTGTACTACAAGATTAGTGATTACAATTGCTGCAACTGTAGTTTCATCTGTATTATTTATTATTTTTGGAGTACCTTATTATGTATTTAAACGTGATACGTGATAATTAAGCGCCAATCCCTATAATGTTATACACACACACGGTAGATTTCCAATTGCGGTCGTTTTGCGGGACATTCACATAAAATATATTTTTAATTGTAAAATTAATATTTTATCTTGTTTGCATTCTTTTATATATAAAAAAGATCGTTGGTTTTTTTTTTATAAATTAATATATTTTAATAAATCAAGATGTTATTTTATTTTGAAAAATAGTTGCCGACTTTGTATTTATAATAAAAAATAATAGGCGGATAATTAAGTCAATTTAAAATCCCGGCCGAGGTCACGCAAAATTTTTTTTTAGCAATTTATATTTCTACCGCAATTTTTATATTTCGCCCGCATAATACCAAATTTTTCCCGCGATTTGAATATTTTGACCTGGCAACCCTGTATTATTATGCGATTTTCAATTTTTAATTAGGCATTTGTATTTTTTTTGGTTAATATTTTTAGGCATATTTTAAAATTGGAAAAATAGTTTATGACAAGAAATCTCGGATAACAACCAAATTTACTAAACATCGACCAAAATTTCCGTCAATATACATTATATTAAATATTAAGTTAGGGAAGGGGGGTCTTATTATTACATGTATAAACCAGAAATCACTTGATCATGATGGATGTAACAAAACATTAAAATAATTAAATAATAAATAAAATTTTAAAAAAAGTACCCCCACTCAAATTTACTGAAGCAGTTGCTTCGGACCCCCTCCATTGCAGGGGCCACTGACTGCCGCCAGCCGTTCGTTTAAAAAATTGAAACTCTGCCGCCGATAATGCTATCGTCGCACAGGCCTAGTTATTAGTAAATCATCGATGTAAAATATGACATCTTTCATATAACAAAATATTTGATCCATCTTTTGTTGAAAAATTGCTGATGAAGTTTTTTTTTAACCTAAATGGAATTCTGGTAAACTGGAATTATACCCGATGTGTGGATACTGTCGACAAGTTTCTGCAGCTTTTAACAAACGCGTTTTTATAATCATTCTTGGTAAATTTCTTTCCCCTCCAAAGTTTAATTATTAAATAATTTATTCGTGAAAGTGGATATCTAAAATCTTCTAGAGCTGATTTGATTGTGTCTTTAAAATCTGGGCAGAGTCTTTATATTTAAATATAATTAAGTATTTACACGGCCTAACACTGTCACCATTTATTCAAGAGGTAAAAACAATTTATTTTTAAAATAATAACATAATATAATAATTTTATCTCCTTAATCAGCGTCTACATGACGAAAAATTTGATGGAGGCAAACCCCCAAATCTTATAATAAGCAATAATTTTCTTTACATCCTTTCAGACCTATTTAGGCTAGAAAAAACAATCAAATCTATAATTATTGTTAATAATAAATAAGCATTAAAAAGCTGTTTGGGCCACTCCATTGGGATTGATTATTATAGGAAGAAAATATAAAATGGGAATTTTCGATAACTTTGCATATTTGTTAATTATTAAATAAAGAATATAGTTAAATTCTGTTTACCTATCGAAAATCTTATTTTAAATAATAATAATTAAAGTATTTTGTAAAATAAATGATTATTAAATTTCTTACTGAAATTTATTATTAAAATTAATCATATATGTTAACAGCGTCTACATGAGCGGGAGGGGTAGGAACAGTTTGCATCCTATTTTTTTGAGAGGGTAGGCTGCTTTAATGGGAATAAGGGGTAGGCTGTTTTAATAGTGGTAAGATAAATTTTTTGAGGGGTTATCTATTAAATTTTGAGATGAAATAAGACACTATTTATTTCTGTAAAAAGAAATATTTTTATAATAGAATTATTATAATACAATTCATCGACCAAATCTATATATTGCAAACAATCATACACATTGTTTTCCAAATAAAACTTTCTGCTATCATTTCAGCAAGCTCATAATGCCATAATAATTAATTCATTGTAAATAATGGAGGTTTTAATTGAATTTATTATCTAAAAAATAAATCCTTTATATTCACAAAATATCGATAGTTGGTAGTAGAGATAGATTAATTTCAGTTATCCTTTATAAATTCTCTGAAAAGAGTATCAATAAATTTAAAAGGTAAAAATAATAATAGGAAGACACGGTAGCCGGAGGCTCTAGAATTTTTTTAGGGGTTAGGCAAAGGTTTTTGAAGGGGGTTTGCATCCAGTGAAAATCCTGTCATGTAGACGCTGTATGTTAACCTCTATATTTTTAGAAAATTAACAAATAAGAATAATATTAATATTTCATGTGTGAAATTGTGAAATATTATGGTAAAAAAATTAATAAGAAGGCTTAAAATTATAATTTTTTATAATTTTATAATAGACAAATCAATCGAATCAATTATTGAATTTAAAAAGAATATAATTCAAATCAAAAACTACCCCCCCCCCCCCCAAATCAATACCTACTCCCAAATATTAATGCCCTCCTCAAAAAAATCTACACCTACCACCAAAAATCTCCTACCCACCCCAGCCATTTAGAAACTGTCTAATAATTAAGTATATTTACATACTAAAATATAATATATAAATAAAATTTAAATTAGAATATATATGCAAAATAATAAATTTTGAAGTAAAATAAGGTAAATATTTTTCTAGGATGATGAAATATTTTGTACAAGTAGTATATAATAAAAATATAATGTTTTGAATATTTTTAAATAATGTAAAGTAAAAAAAAAATGCTGAAATATTTTATATAAAAAATTAAAATATAATATCTTATCCAAGGAGGCTGCGAAATAGCCACACACGCTACTCGTATCCATCTCCAAACCAACCCAAGTAACGAAATCCTCGTTAAAATTGATTTCTCTAACGCCTTCAACTCCATTCGCCGCTCTCACTTTCTCCCACAAATGTACCACTCATTCCCCACCTTTTCCCAATTCTTCCATTCTTGCTACTCCAAGCCATCTCATCTCCAATTCAACAACTATTTACTTTCATCATCTGAAGGGATCCAGCAAGGCGATCCTTTGGGGTCGATACTTTTCTGCATTGGAATCAACGAAATGGTCAAAAACATTTCTTCCAACTGCAATCTCCCACTGCATACTTGGTACATTGACGACGGAATACTCTGCGGTCCCCCTAGCGAGGTTGATAAGGCACTCACCATCATCAAAACACATTCCCACGCTATCGGTCTCTCACTCAACGAATAAAAAATTGAGATCTGCCCATTTCATTGCTCCATCCCATTCAACCACAACTTCCACACAACCGAACTCTCATCCCTCAGTCATCTCGGCTCATGCAAGCTCGGGGGTATCGGCTTACGCTCACCTCTAACTCTTTCCATCAGTGGTTTCATAGCCTCTCGTCTTTCACCCGATTCACACATTAGCCAGCTTTCCAACTTCCCTGATCCCCTATTAGCTGAAGCCCAGACCATTCCCTCCTCATGTTCACAGAGAGACTGGGATATTCCACTCAACGAAGGCTCCGTCGCTTACCTAAAATCGAGCCTTCACGACGACGATCTCACAGTTTTTCACCAATTGAACCAAGGATCTGGTTACGAGTTTCTGGAAACCATACCCCCCAACAACCTCGATTTGTTGCTCACTGCTGACGAGCTAAGATTTGCTATTGGACTATGGCTCAATTGCGAAATTGTTCTTCCGTACCAATGCAAACATTGGGAAACCAGAGTCGACAGCAAGGGTAGGCACTCCCTCCATTGTCGCTTTTGTCGTGGCCGCTTTTCACGGCACACCTAATGCAATGACATTATTTTACGCGCCCTCAAATCAGGAGGCATTCCATCTAGACTAGAACCAACCGGAATTTTCAGAAGTGACGGAAAGCGTCCTGATGGAATGTCCTTGATCCCCTGGTCAAGGGTCAGCTCCTGGTTTGGGACTTCACCTGCATTGACCCAAATGCACCTTCTAACCATAACGTCGATGCTCTCGCCCTCGCTGAATCCCGCAAAACCATAAAGTACAGTTCCTTAGACCCTTCTTTCTTATTCATACCCATCGCCTACACCATTCTCACCACCTTTGGTCACAAAGCTCAACGTTTTTTCAAAGATTTAGGCAAACGGATCCGCGAAAAAACTGACCAGCCTAAGGAATCCCTCTTCTTACGCCAAAGACTTGCTACCGCCATCATTCGTTCTAAGAATCTAAGCTTCATCTCTTCCATTGAATAATCTTCCATTTTCCAAGCTTCCTTTTTTTTTATCCCCTATCCTTTCCCGTAAATTATATTTCTACAATTTTTCACCTTTATTTATTTTACCTTTTTAAAAAATTAATTATCTGCTAATATATTTTGACATCATATCATATCAGTAATTATTCAAATAAAGTAACCCATGACCATTTAACAATAGCATTGAATTAGATATAAATTTTTTTATTTTAATATAAAACTAATTGTGGAAACTGGCAGAAATTACGTGATACTTGATATATAGCGCATCGCCCTCTAACGTTGAATACATAACAGAGCTACGCTAGGTTTTCCTCATTTCCATCTAATTGGAACAATTTAATTTGGGTATAAAAGTAAAAATATGAGGAACCCTCCACACGTTTGTGGGCAAGCCGCACGTACTTGTAGGCACAACATTTCGAAAAATGTTGCTTAAACCTCTATAGGCTTTAATTTAAAAGAAGTGGGACAAAGAAAAAGCCTATACCCGAGAACTACAGTATAATTTAATTACTTTAAAGGTGGGTGATGGCTGATTTTAAGCTTAATTTCTTTAGTGTAAGTTATAATTGCTATCAATATTGAGATATAATGTTCATAGAATCTGTAAATAAATAAGATTAAGATAAAATAATATTTACCGTTCTATCACTGCATTTGATCAACGTTCAAGCTACAAAATCTAATCTTATTTCCAATTTTTGTAAAGAATTTGTCATTGTTCTAGCCAAAGGAATCAAAGGAATGACATTTAATTTTCTAAAGCCATGCTATTTTGAATGAATCTAAGAAGTTTCTTGTATTGATATAGAGAATTTAAAAATAAAAATAATAATGATGAGGCATTTGATCCGCTTGTAAATTCAATTTCGCCTTTTTTCCGGCAGAAATTTAAATGCCAAACGAATTGTATAAATAATATAGGCATTCATTCATGATTTTCGAAATCATTCAATTGTTAGTTATTCTAAAACTATGAGGTTCGATTTTTTTTGTTATTATTAAATATACATATACATTATACGTATTAATTCCAAAAGAATGGTTGAAAATAAGTATCAGTTTGCATTTATATAATATGTTAATCAAATTTAAAAAATTTAATTACCTTTAATGAATTGAAAAATTAAAAATCAAATTTTTTTAACAAATACAAAAGCATAATATTTTTCACTCTGCTTGTACCTTTTTTTATTGCTCATTTTGACTATATATTAACTTTAAATCACAGTTATTTATTTTTTTCAATATATATAATTTTGATTATATTTAAAAAAATCAACATTAATTAAGTGTTTACCATATAGATATATCAATGATTACATAGGCCGGAATTTTTCTAAGAAAGGGGTCTATGCCCCCTACTTTCTTAGAAAACCTTTACAATTTTTTCTGGCCTTTTCCATGATTGTGCTTATCATTTAATTAATATAAGTTACTTTTTTATGCAATATATTTAATTTTCATTGCTTTTTTTTAAAATTGAAAATATGATAATTATTTGAAAAAGTATTTGCCTATATATTTTATTAAATAATAGCTAAATACTTTGTCTTTTTTTAAGGGTGGTGGGTTGTCCATTTTTATATGTTTAAAATTAAATTGATATTACCAATTTAAAGGCTTAAGCATTACTCTGATTTTGACAGTTCTGCAAATTATATCAATACAAGATAATTATTAAGATTTTTAAGAGTGAATATTATATTATGATATTGTTAATTTTTTTGTTTTAAAACTATTTAATTTTCAACATCTTTTTTTTTGATAAGGATAAACCATAATATTATATCATGTATATTTGTTAGTGTTAAATCATTTGTCCTTATCCACCTTCAAGATGGATTTTATTATAAAACATGTCTCTCAAATCTTAATTTTTTTTAAAGTTTAGGTTAAAGTTCAATTTATGCATAAACAAATATTGGAGTTTTGCTAAATAAAACATCATATATAGCAGCTTAGAGTATTTTATTTTGACAAATTTTAATGACATTTACATAATATCTATATAGAATTATATGGCCACTTTTATTTGCTTCACTTTACATATTAATTTATTTCTCTTATAATGTTAAAAAAATATATCATTTCTGTCCCCTTATAATATCCATTCGTGTAAAAAATATTTTATATATAATATGTTAATTTTTTTACATATTTTGAGTCAAATTTTTTTTGATCATTTTTATTTAATATAATCAATACTTTTATTGAAATTTTTATTTAGATATTTTAATATCCAAATTCCCCTTATCATTAGTTTTTTATAAATTGTAAATTTAAGTGGAAGGTTGGCAAAACCCAAAGCAACAACCTCACCCATGGGTTTGTTTCAGATTATTCTAATTAATTTATATTTCGAAAATTACTTTTCTTCCTACAAATAGGGTTTAGTCAAATAAATTTTTGCAAGCTGGGATGAGCAATTAAAAAATATACCTAGATATAGATATAAATACATATTGAATATATGTATTTTAAGATACAGATGCACAATACTTTTTAGAAAAGTTAATAAGACATAGATACTTTAAAAAATTGACATATTTTTGGGGCATTTTGTTAAAAAAAGTTAAGCCATATTGCTAAGCAAAACACTTTATTTATATTCATTTCACTTAATATATTTTCATATAGGGTGTATTAGAGGTCTTCGTTGGGCGGGTTTTTGAACCATATACCTGCCAACCCAATATTTAAAAAAAATTAACCTGCCCAACCAGCCCACCCATAGTTTTCAAAAAAAATATTCACCCACCCACCCATCCATTATTTATAAAAAATTTTAACCGAAGCCGGCTATTATAAAATATAATTATTGTCATTCTTTCAATTTTTAAGGCATCTAATAAAAAAATTCAGCATTACACCTCTACAAAATGTTTTATAATTTAGGTAATTATACTATATTAAGCATAAAAAAATATTCGATTTATGGATAATTTATTTTACCAAAAAATACTTATGAAAAAAAAATATAAACATAAAATTGATATTATATGTAATTATAATGCGAAAATAAACGAATCGACATTTTCAAGATTCAAACACATTTTTCTTTGTTCTAAAAACCTTCCAGCAATGCTAAATCCTCATCCAGAAGAAGCACTAGTTGAAGGAATTGCCAATATTTTTCTTGCTACTCCTGATAGTTAGGCAAATCTCTTTCTCGTAGTTTACACCAAATAGTTTTAAACATACAAAAATGTTTTTATCATACCAAAAAAGGACATTTAAATATTTAATAACCAAAAAGTTCATAAGAACCATTTTTTTATTAATATTTACTTAAATGATTTAAAATTTTTTAGCCCACCCTCCCATTTTTTAAATTTTTTAACCCGCCCACCCACTAGCTCGTTCTTAAAAAGTTTTGCCTGCCCACTATGAGCGGGCGGCCCGAAACCCCGCCCAATGCAGACCTCTAGGGTGTATAATGCAGTCTCTTTAGAGCTATGTTCAGAAATCCCAATCGGCCACAGTGGTTTTTTCAAAATGTTCATAGTGCTGGCCACCAAAAAAATGTGTAGCATATGCGATGCTACACATTTTAAATGAATTTTATTTATAATTCATTAAATTACATTTTTTTTTATAATTTATTTGAGCACTCACAGTTCTAAGATTGATAATATAGTTGGGTTCTTAGATCATTTCCTGTCCCACTCCTAAATAAATTTATGACTTTCCGAAGTAGATAGGAATCACCCTTTAACTCATGGCCATTCATAACATCTATATTTGATTCAAACAAAATATGAAATGAGGAATATAAGTAAATTAGAAAATCAAATTTATTTATATTTTAATGAAGTTTTTAGCATTTTGAGTATTAATCCAGCTTGAAGATGATTTCGTTAGGTGTACTAAGTACCAAAATTTAGCAAGCTTAGGAAGTTCTAGTTTTTTTCCGAAGAGGTTAGTGCATCCTCTTCTGTTATTAGATGTTGGCCCAGTAAAATGTGGCATTGATGGCTAGTGCTATTATAGCTTGCTTAAAAATATTTGCCAAAAAATTCAAATAGAAATTTTTTAGACCTAATTTTTGTTCCTTTTTTGGAACTATAAATTTATATTTTTAGTTTTTAAATATTTATTATGTTTTATAGTATTATTTGATCTTATATTAAAATATAAAAAGTTATAATAAAAAAATAAAAAATAAATAAATTGAATAAACTTTTAAATATATATCGAAAAAAATTCTCATTTGTATATTAAATAGTTATCATTTTTTAAAAAAAATAATTAAGCTACAGATACTAGATACCAGAAATATTTCGTATCCGGTATTTAAGATACAAGTATTTGCGATACTGCCCAACTCTGCTTGCAGGTCTCCGATACAGATATCCAGAGTTGTTAAAGGATCTAGATACCTTGTATCTAGATATAAAAATGTGGTATCTGTATCTAGATAGATTTTTGATTAAAATATCTGTATCTAGATATTATTTTAGACGATGTATCTGTATCTTGATCCATTTAAAAAGTATCTTTTAACCACTCTGCAGATATCTTGAGGCTTTGGTTTTTTTTTTTTAAAAACAAACCTTTTCTATTTATTAAACCTTGATCGATTAAATCATTCACTTGAATAAGTTTTAATATTTTTTTTAGGTTAAACTAATTTGAATATCGAATTACACGAATATAGAAAATAAAAATTTCATTAGCTTGTCTTTTATTTCGGTCAAATTTTTTTCCCCCTTGCTATTAGTTATTAGATATTCATTTTTAAAATATCGAATTTCTTTTATAATTTTTTTGCTTTTTTTTGGATACCTTTCAAAACGAATTTAGTTATTAGCTTTCTTTATCGGTTTTTCTTTGTGGACTTAGTATTACGTGTACAGGGCGGGGCACACTTCTCGGGGTATGATGATACGCTAGTAAATTTTCAAATTTAAATCGGTTTAAACGGCAAAACAACAAATAAAATTAGGGAATTGATATTGGTATTCCGAAAATTTTGTTATACAGGCAACAATTTAACGTCGACTCCTTAATTCTCTTTACATTTATAATTTGGTCATATTATAGCGCAGGCGCACTATACATAACGAGACCCGGATAGGTTGATATGGAAATTGGTTAATTATTCTTACGGGGGGGGGCAAAATTTATAAATTTGATTTTTTAAATGAGTAAAAATGAATACCAAATTTTTGGAATCTACTTTTTTCGACAAAAAAAAAATTGTTGAGCGTTACTTTATACAGTTACTTTTCAGCGTTACTTACCACTGGATAATTAGGGAAATAGAATTATCCCCCTTTCTCCATTATACGTACATCTGATTGGTCAAATGAAATTATCTAAGGTTAAATATTTATTCTCATTAATCGTCCGCAATATTGATAACTAAGAAAGGGAGGATATCAATACATATATTTCTTTAAGTAATCGTTTGATTATAAGCTATTAAATATATCCTCCTGTAATTAAACTAATCGGTATTTTGACGTTTAATTAATTACTACATCAAATTATGTCAATAAAGAGAAGGTGTAATAATTTATTTTTTAATATTATTTATTTATATATTAATTTATATAACAATTTAAACTTAGTAATTTTTTTTAATTCCACTAAATAAAATAAAAATTAAAATGAAAACTAAAACCTATATATTTTACTAATTATCATCACATGGAGGATAGAAATAATAATTCTATCTTTATTAATATAATAAATTAAATTCTTCTTCATTTATTGTATATTAATAAATAATATAAACTTTATATTATTATTTAAAAAAAAATACTCTCCCACCTTTTAACGAAAGAAATTTATCAAGCGTGAATACACTTTTACTCTATGTATACTTTATATAATATATAAGTATGTATAATATATTTGTAATAATAGTTTTTGTATTTGTTCTCTATTATTATTGTATCTATATCTATTATCATTTCTATACCTCCTATTATAAAATATTTACGATATGAAGAATAAGTTACTAACTTTATGT